TAATGGCAACGGTAAGGAGGCGAAGACGAAGCGTGGCGGCTGCGGCACTGCCGTGGACGAATTGACGGCGGTTGAGACGCTGGACGATTCCAGCGAGGAAGGAGAGGCGGGCAATCATGGCGGGGTCAGCGGCGACGTCAAGGCGAATAAGCTTGTACGACGGCTGTTCGAGTCGCCGCCGCCGTTGTGCCCGGACAAGTCGCCGCTTCCGCTGCGCAAGGTGCCGTCGGAAGATGGACCGCCGTTAGAGCCGCTGCAGTCGCAGTTACTGCCGTTTACCTTCTCCTCGTCACAGCTTAAGTCGCCGATTACAGCGTGGATGCTTCAGCAGCAGCAGCAGCAACAGCCAGAACAGCAGCCAGAACAGCAGCAGCAACAGCAAGGGGCGGCTCTGGAAGCGTATCAGGATCTCTGGGCCGACCGGTCGTTCGGAGATCTGGCAGCGCTGTTTTCGCCGCCGCGGCATGCAGTTCAGCCAGCGCACACCAGCAACGAGATCATGCCTGCTGCGGGCAATGGTGCTGCAGGCGGCGACATTGATGCCCACAGCCGTATACCAGCCGACCCGCTCGTCAGCAGCGGTGACGACAAATCAGCGCCACCGTCGCTGCCGCCATTGCCCCTGACGCCTTCTATGCTATCAGCCATGCTGGCAAATGGCCGATTGCGGCCCACGATACCAGCCGTAACTGATCCCGCCGTCGCTGCTGTCGCTGCGGCTGCTGCCGCCACGGCGGCAGCTGCGGGGTGCGGAACATTGGCCAGCGGCCCGGAGGCAGCCACCGATGCGGAGAATCCCACGCATGGTGACCCTGCTGCTGCTGCTGCTGCAGGCGAGCGCATCCTTGTGGGGAGCGAGGAAGGGCCCCGGCCGCCGCAGGAGCGGTACCAGCAGCTGCTGTTCGGCACGGATTTGTACGGCGGCATGGAGCCCCCGTCATCGGCCCCCGGGGAGGCGGCGTTGCGGTACGAAACGTCGACGGGGGGCCGTCACGCGCCTCGTGCCGCCTCACCTACGTCGGACGGTGATGGCACAGGCGGCAGCACGGGAGCTGCGGCGGCGACGCTGGCAGCCCTCGCAAGGGGCAGGGCGTTGCCGCCGACAACGCCCGGAGCTGCGGGCAAGCCGCCATTAACGCAGGAGGAGGGCCGGCAGACGCAACAACAGGAGCATCTGGAATCTCCTTCGCAACATCATCGGTTGCACTATCACCGCAAACTTCTCAGTCGGCGGCAACCATCAACACCACAACAGCAACAACCGCAACCGCAACCGCAACGAGAGCAGCAGCAAAAGCAGGAACACCCTGAGCGGGCTATACAGCAACCACAGCTACCACTAGCACCTCCGCCACCGCTCTTCAAGGGCTCAGACCTCTTGCAAACCCCGCAACCCCTGCAGAACACCGAGAGGAAGCCGCAGTTATGGCAGCCACAGCCCGGCGTCCCGCAACAGCTACATCCCTTGCTGCTTGGGTTGCCCGGTTTCGAGTGGCTCTCCCCGCCTGCGGTTTCTGCCCTAACGACCCCGGCCGTCAGCCAGGCCCAACACAGGCCACGACAGCAGGCTTGGTCCACGGCCGGCGGCGGCGGTGGCGGCGGCGCATTTGACAGCGGCGGCGGCGAGAGTGACTGGGAAGCAAACAGTGAAAGCGCCGCTGCCGTACGGCGACAACGAGTTCAACAGCAGTTGCTCACAGGCAGCAGCAGCAGCCGAAAGCGCCGTCATGAGGCTCCGACGACAAAGACAGCCTCGGCGGTGGCGGCGGCGGGGCAACCTTTCACGCCTGGGGAGCATCGTCATCAAGGCCACCACCCTCATCATCCTCATCATCTCCACGAAAGCCAGCGGCGCATTTCGGCGGCAGCGCCAGCGATGACGGTGGCTCACAGCAACGCCGCTGTCCACGGCACCGAGGCTGACGGTGAAGAGGTGGCAACGAAGCGTCAGGCCATCCGCCGCATTCCCGCGATCGCGGTGTGTCCGCCGTCAAGCGCTGTCGCACAGCGCGGACCCGCTGCGACGGCGGCGGCGAGCCGCAACCGCTCTAAACCGTACGACGGGCCGCCACTAGTTCCGCCGGTGCCCGCCCCGCGCCCGCCGATTCGGCCGCCGCCGACGTCCCGTGTCCGCCCCGGACAGTGGTACCCTTGGCGGCGAGTACGGGCGTACGAGCCGTTCTTTTCGCAGCCGCAGGAGGCGCCCCGTCAGCGGCCTATTCACCCCCTGCAGCGCTTTACCGCCGCCGCCGACGTCAGTCCCAACGCCGCCGCTGGCGGCGGTGGCGGCTGTGCCGCTGCAAGCGGGCCCGGTGTTCCCAGCGGCGTTATAGGCGTCAATCAGGCCGGATGGGGCCAGAGCATTGCACCGGGGCAGGGTGGGTTTGCTGAGGCCACACGCCGGCCGCCGCTGCCGCTGCCTCCGCCATCACTGCCGCAAACCCATGCCGCACAGCAGGACGCGTTCAGGACTTCCCTTCCTGCGGGCGGCGCTTCCTCGCTGCCTTGGGGTGGCGGTGCCGCAGGTGGCGCCCCCGCTCGCCAGCCCGCCCCGGCAGCCCCCGTACAGCAGGCGCAGATGCAGCCCTCGCAGCAGCAGCAGCAGCAGCAGGCGGCGCTCCCGCTGATGCTGCAGCTGCAGCTTCGTGCGCTGTTGGTCCAGGTGCAGCAGCAGCAACAACAACAACAGCAGCAACAACAGCACCCACAGCAGCTAGGACAGCACCATCAGCAGGGCCAGGGCCTGGGTGCGATGCAGCCTCCGGTAACGACGGCAGCTGATCGGCTCCCAGTGTACCACGCCATGAGCCAGGGGCCTGTCATGTCTGGGAATGAGCAGCTATCGACGCGGCAGCAGCACTTGCAGGGCCCAGCTCTGGGCGAGCCGCCTGGCATGGACAGAGGCTGGGGAGCGCCGTTCGGAACCGGTTCGGAGGGATTCGGGCATGTTCAGGAACAGGGGTCCAGCGCACCCGCAGCCCAGCATCCCTCCTGGCTGCCTAGCTCGACTGCCGCTCCGGATCACTTGTATGTGCCACCGGGACAGCCGCCTCCGCCTCCTCCATCGCAAACGCAGCCGGTACCGGTCATGCAGGCAACGCAGCCACCAGCATTGGCACAACCGCAACCGCAGCCGCCGCGGCCGCCGGGTCTACTGCAGTCGTACATGCCTCTGCAGTCGGCGCTGAGATCCGAGCCGACCCAGCTGCCGCCACGACAGCAGCAGCCGGTTATGGCTCAGGCGCCAGCCGTGAATCCGGATTTGGTCCGGGCCTTGCTTGCAGGGCTGGCTGGAGCTACCGGCCGGGGGCCTCCGCAGCTGCAGTAGAGGACGACGCACAACTATGAGGAGCAGTAACGTAGGACGGTATGAGCTGTATCACAGGGCCGCGACGTATGCGGCATCTGGATGGTCGTCGCTATGAACATTTGGGTTCTCTAGACTGCCGAGAGGTAGATAGGCGTGGATCTTCTGTGTGTGACGTGGTCGTGCTGGATCAATGCTGATGGGCAGATGGGCAGATGTCAACGGGTTGTGAAAGATTGGCAGTTCTACGACATACGGGTATAACCCATTTGCGTACGGACACAAGGCGATAGGTCTATGAGCGCTAGCGAGCGATGTTGGGTAAGGTCAGGGGCTTAGGCAGCAACCGAATTTCAGTTCCCCTCCTGTTCCCCTCCTGTACGGTACCCCAGTCGGTGCCCTAACTAGTAGTAATGGTAGCAATGAGCATGTTGTATACCGGTAGGGGCAGTAGGTCCGTTAGACAGTGGTAGATACACGACAACACGAGCATGAATGTGTTGTTGTGCCCGCGTGGAGGCTGGAAGGTATTGGGAGCTTGCGACGATGGTGGGGTGAAGCAGGTTTTGTGCGTAAGCTGTTGCACGCAGTTGGTCTGTTGTTGGGTTAAGAGACACACAGCCAGTGCTGTTGGTAGGAGGTTGGGAATTGCTCAGCCGTGTCAAGTGGAGAGGGGTTAGTGGCATGGGAGCTTAACGGCACCACGAAACAGTTGACACGAACGGTTGGTTGCCCACGGCTACGTGGCAGTAGACCCGGAGGTCCGGGCCGGTGTAGAGTGGTACGGCGATGGATGTATCATGTGTAGCTCTTGGCAATGTTAGCGCATTCATGGCAACACTGATTACCGTTAGGTTGACGATACAGAATGGACGTACAGAGTCAACTGTTTGCGACCCCCCCTTGCATGCTCTCGCCTGAAGGGGTCCGAAGCCCAGCTAATATGGAACAAAGGACAGCCGCGTTTATAACGACTGTCTAGGCTTTTACATTCGCTAGCATTTAACATTTGCTCTTTAAGCTTTAGCGTGGAACGTCGGAATGCCAAGTCGCAACGCGGTCTGGCTGCGCGGCAACCAAAAGAATTTCCTGTTGGAAAAGTCCAAATATGCTGTTCTCTTAACCACTGCCTTAAGCCAAAGCCCCCGAAGCCTAGTTTCCAGTCGCACATCACTGATGGTGCAACAACCTGTCAACCCTCCAGCCGCCCCACCTGTCTACTTTAGATCAACAATTTAGCGTGGCCTATTGCACACCGTTCATTGGGCATTACGAGGCCATGGTTCGGGCGAGGATGGCTGTCAAGGCGAGCGACGATGCGAAAAGGGCGGGGGCTGAGAAGACGTCACACGCTAATGTAGGATATAGAGAGGTCATAAGCAGCCCATGGTTACAGGCGGCAGGTCCGCAGCCCGGGCAGCACGGGCGACCAGCAGTTGACGCGCAACTTTACAGTACGGATAACGGGCGATCTTTAATGTGTAACCCTACCGGAGCAACATGGAACAACAAAAATTCTGACCTAGCGAACTAGCTCAATTTTGCCGAGTTGCTTCGACAGCTACCCGCCGGACAGGTACCTTGGGCGATGACCGTTTTTAGGTCTGCGCGTAACCGATTGATCGCTGGCCGCCTACTCGAGTATAATCACCGGAATAGATCGGTACATGAAAATGCGGGATGTAGGCCCATCGCACAGGCAAGGCTAACTGCGCTGACACGACATATGGACGAACATTGGACGCCCATGACGGCCAAAGTTTCGTCCCTTCTTTCAAACATATGTACTATTGTTACACACACACCTAAACAAAAGACTTATAGGAAGAACGAAGAACATATCAAATTGCAGCTGTCTGTTTGAACCTTGTTATCCGGCTGACTGAACATAGCAGCAGAGCCTAGAGGAATTCCACTTAAATCATTTATAGGGTTTCAACCAGAGATGGTCCTTGACGCAGCGACAACACGGGACCGGGACCAACGGCCGTCGAGGGGGAAGTGGGCAGGAGGAACCGAGGTGTCTTGCCGCGGTGGCCCAATCCATGACGACGTGGCTGATACAGGCGCAAATGACGTAAGGGCAGCAGAGATGCTTAATTGTTCGGGTCCTGTCGCGTCAGATGTTGCAGTCGTGTAGCTTCGCCGGGCTCGGCGCATTTACCCTGTCTTCGTTGGACCGCAGGAACCAGGAGACGTTTGCTGGGTGTGCCTTGACGGCCCTTCTCCTGGAAAGCCGCTCATCCGACCATGCAAATGTCCACGATATTGCCACAGCGTTTGCATCGCTCGATGGCAGCTCCAAAGTGCGGGGAGCAGGCAAGTGCATGCCTGCTTCCGGTACTATTTTGTCCTGTTTTCCACCTAAGAATTATACTATGGACTGACGTTGAGTGCCGAAGGCAGCCTGGGCGTGCCCAGGCCCGCTGCTTCAGGTCACAACTTGGCCCGCGATCTATGCAACAATAGGCCGTCGATAAGATTTACTTACTTTGCGCGCAGGAAGGAGACCCACTGCGAGTTTTGCCAATCGAAGTTGCCGGAGTGGAAGCAGGCGCTGACACCCTCCTGCGGCTGCCAGGCCCCGGTGAGCGAATCGTACCTTGCACTACGCATCCGGACTGATGACTGCTCAACGCCAGACCAGATCCCCGCAGCTGCTGCGTGATTCGTCCATGCCTGCCCCTTGTACGTTAACCGCTGCGGGGCTATGTAGCCCCTCACTCTTGCGACCCAAATGCCTATCAACCCCACAAACCATGTTCCATGCATCCAGATCTCTTCGCTCGTCACCTCTCCTCCTAAACTAGCCCTCCGTCGTGTCAAATAATTTCCCTTTTCACCCCTTCCAGCGGCATCCCTCGCCCCCTCCGCAGGCCGTCATGAACGTCAACTTTGGCGGCCGCACGTACAGCTTCGAGGTGCAGCCCGGCCCCGACGGCTACCGCCGCTTCACCGCCGCCATCCGGTCCGCCTTCTCTCTGCCTGAGGACAGCGAACTCAACATCACCTTCACATGCGACGAGCCCAACACAGGTGGGTTGCTGCAGTTACTGGATAATAATAACGGGTGCTGTTGGGGGTGGGATGATGTGGGTCGGACGTGGGATGCTCAGGGGGATGTGGGTCGGGCGGGCGTATGTCCAGGAGGATGTGGGACTCCTTGAGGCAGGGGGCGCGTTGGTTACAAGCCGCGGAACCTATGCTAGGCGGTGTGTGTTCAGGGCGTAAGGTGGCACTCGTGTTTGCATGCGCATGCGTATGACTCCCTACACTGCCCTCATGCCTTCCTTGCCACATACGCTGCGCTGCCCTCCGTACGGCCGATGCCGCTTTACCTTAGCTTTGCCTCCTTCCCTTCTCTCCTCCTTTCTCGCGCGCGCGTGTGCGTCTCGTCTGTCGTCCGGCCGCGTTCTGGGCCTTGTTGTCAGAGCCAGTCACCAACGCAGGGTCGCTGTTGACTCTCCAAGGAGCCGGCGCTTATGACGCTGCCGTACACTGCGCCTCGGTGTCCGCTGCGCGCCGCATCAGCTCGGGAAGCCCGCTGGCGCAGGCACCCATGTGGCCCTCCACCAGCAGCGGCGGCGCTGGGGCTGCGGGAGGAGCTGGCGCGGGCGGCAGTGGCGGTGCGGGTGGCAACAACAATGCGAACAAGAACCGGATGCTCACGAACATCGGGCGGCGGCTGCGGAATGCGATGGCGGAGCTGTTTGGTACGGGCAGCGGCGCAGGAAGCAGCGGTGGTGGCGCTGGCGCGGTGGGCGGAGCTGGGCGGGAGCTGAGGAATTGAGGGCAATTGCATTGTTAGGTTGAGTTGAGAAGAATGTGTGAAGTACCAGCTTAGGAGTTTCGGTGGTTGTTTTGGGTGCATATGCAGGAGAGTTGGAGGGCAGAGCAGGAGGGGCGTTCGCTTGCTTGTGCAGGGCTTCGGACCTTAGAGAGGGTTATAGTTGAGGGAGGGAGCGCGTTGCCATGGCGCGTAGCTTTGGGCGGCTGCTAGTTGAAACCCAACAACCAATGGGTACCAAGTACTGCTTTCTTTTGCTTGCCTTGTTTAGTGCTGCCTACGGCTGTGGTACAGGTACATAAAGGTTAGCCGCAATAACAGCGATGTCTTCCCTTCCAAGTGTACATATCCTTACAATGTCGATCTACTTGAGTGTGCCTCTGACGCTGGACGGCCAAGTTAGTTGACGGTTGGACGTGTCTAAATTCTTCTAAAATCTTGCTAAAATCTTGAATACGATATCTCCATCACCGCTTGGCATGTCAGCAGGTAGTGAGACCGGGGTGTGGTAGGTTCTGTTTAGAGTGGCATTAATTGACGGCGGCACATATAAGGTGTGCGCCTGCTGGATAGGGACATGATGAACCCTTGAGCGGATCTCGAGAATTGAAGAGTCGTCGAGGATGAATGCATGGCTTCGCTTGAACAGTTGAATTGTGTCTTCACACTGGGTACATGCGGTTCAGTTGGTACACGCTTAGGGCCTGTTGGTGATGAGGAGCACGAATGAATGATCGTTACAATGGTCTAGCATGTTGGGGCATTTAAGTTTTAACTTTCAGCCTTCCGCTGGGAACTCCACTAAGGGGGCTCCATAGCCAACTGAGGGTATCACGTCGGAACGTGAGATCCGCTTCTGCTGTAAATGTAAGTAACGGTAAGTTACCGTGTCATCCAGAGGCAACGACGTGAATGACCAACACATCAGATATGACCATGCGTAGCTTCCACTCGGTACACATACATCAGCCACTCATGCGCAGATGCTATCGTGAAGTAAACCCATGTCGTACACCATACAATACATCATTGGCACATGAATGTCAGCCCACCGTGTACTACACAGCAGCGGTAATTATAAAGGGTCCTCACATCATCTGTGATCACCGCGTAATTATGGGGTTTCAGCTAAGCCCAACGTCCGACATGCCGTTGACGAAACCGTACGAAAACATAAGGCAATGGCGTACCGCCAACACAACTTCATTGATGCCTGAACATTACCTAAAGAATGAGCACACATTAACATGGGAACATACTGTCGTAATATTGTCTGTAAGAAACATAGACCGGATGGAGTAGCCTGGGCAAGCAAAGCACCTATAGCCCTTTGCACTCCCCAATTCCTAGGTCGCTGCACATGCCTGCACCATTCGAGTCTTAAGCCATCCATGCACACGCATCAAGCTCACTGCCACCACCGTAACCATCAGCTGACTACCCACGCTACATATGTACACCACTTGAAACTGATCATATAGTCTACCCTACTGTTGCCATTTACAACGGCCTAGACTTGGCCTTACTCCGTGCGTGCTAAAGCCTGCTACTATGGTGCCCCCCGAGGCGCATGCCCACAATGTTGAAAAGGCTCAAAGCCTACGCTACAGGTACGGTAGTAGACAGCCAGACTGCCATCTGACACAGCGCTTCGCGCATGGACGCATATCACGATCCAAGTACGGCAATCCCATGTACGTCGGCAGCTGTACTGCCGCATGCGGCTCCGGCAGGACACCGCCTCGCGTGAAAGCCTCGTAACTAATCCCTCCACGCAGCCAAATCAAAACCATCAAGCATCAGCCACAATTCCCCTGACACCCTTTCCCACACCACTCCCAAACCTCATAACGACGGCTGTTGCTGCAACTGCTCGTGCCGCTCGGCCTCCCTTCTCTCGCACCCTCCCTCAGCTCCCCTCCCTGTCCCTGTCCCGGCCCCTGCCCGCCCCAGCCCCGACCCGCCTGCCTTGCTGCCCCCCTCGCAGCCCCTCCCAGAAGCTGACAGTCCCTCCCGCCCAAACAGCGCCTTTTCCACTCCCGTCAGTCGCAGCACCTGCTCCCATGCGCCTGACAGGTGCCGACGGTTCTTGGAGATGGCCAGGTAGCTTAGCGAGATGAGCGGCAGCACGGCGGTGAGGGAGCCCATGCGAGCAGCCCACTCGGCGTCCACTGCCGCCAACAGCTTGATGACCGCTGTGGCACCCTTGAAGACCTGCAGGCGGGGGCGGGGGCGATGCAGTGGGGGCGATGCAGCGAGGGCGAGGGGTGAACGGCCAAAACGACGAGAAGGGAAGCCGAGGGTCACGGCCATACCGGTAACACAGCGTCATCATGGCACATGTGGCACGCAGACGCACCTACACACACGAACCTGCGGGCCTGCCCGTGCACACCAAAACCCCGTCTTCCATTTGTTGACTGCACCCGTTTGCGCTAATCTATCCCAAATCGCCCGCGCCGCTCCCCGTTCGCTAGCACATCCTCCGCCGCCCTGCCACATAAGCAGAGCCCCAGTGCGTGCCATCATCCCCCGCCCCGCCCTGCCCTGCCTGATGGACCTTTCCCCAGCAGCCCGCACCTGGCCGTTGGCTGAGAGGATGTGAAGGGTCTCCATGGCGGCTCGGTAGTTGACACCGCTGTGCTCCAGCGGATTGAAACCCTGCACGTCCCGGCATGCAGCGTTAGCAGGTTTCCCTGATTTGTATCCCTGATCGTAACAAGCATGCGAGGTGCGACATGTAGGCATGCATGTACTTCAGGCGCATGCGGCTGAATGGGGCTGTTAGGCGGCGGCGGAAGCCATCTCCCTGCCATGCATGTACCGACCGTACAGGCATGACAAGGACTGCGATAATGGACAACGATACATCGAGCGACAGAAAGCAATCCTGACATCCAGGCTGTCGCACGCTTTCCAACGCAAGCACCTGCGACGAGATGTCCACAAAGGCGATGCGCCCCATGCCGTTGTCCATCTTTTCAAGCACCGCCTGGAAGGTACGGCAAATGGAGCAGTCCCCGTCGTACAGGTACTTGAACAGCCTGAGCGGCAGCAGCACAGCAAAGCGGAGGAAACAAGGTATGCAGGGTCATGGCATTTCAGGGCAGCGAAAGGGAAAGACCAGCGCGTGCTCCCAACACCCAGACACACAATCCACTTCAACCCACGACCGGCATCCTGCCCAAACACATAGCCCCCCAGTCAGCCACCGCACCCATGCCATCGAACGCAACACCCACCCCCTCCCATGTCACCCACCATCCAGCCCCCGAGGAGCCACCCGCTATGTTGGCCGCCGCCGCCGTCACCTCCCCCAGCAGCCTCCTGCCCACCGCCTCCGCATTCACCGTGTTGCCAACCAGGCCCAACACGTCCCAGGCATCATCCACGTTGTCTAGAACGTCCCAGCCCGACCTGCACGCATCCATGCATGTGTCGGACACAAGGGTCCGGGAGCAGTGGGGATATGCCGCGAAGGTGGGGTTCAGGAGGAGTTAAGCGAGCATGTGACGCGACGAGGAGGAAGCGGTGACAGCATCACACACGCAATAGAAGTGCATATGTGGGCACGATTCGAGCAGCGTGGTGGAGACAGAGAGAAGATGTGCGCGGAGAGGGTGTATGTGTGTCAAAAGAGCGAACTGCATGAAGCAGCTGCTCCTGAACCAAAACAGCAATGAGGCACCGAGTCTACGCACGGAAGGTGTACAGTCCTGTATACATCAACCCTCCTTCGGTAGCAACCCACAGCTCCCTCCCAGGGTGACCAGTGGCAGCCCTGACTCACTTGACGGGGTCCGTGAGGCGCATGAAGCCCTCGGCAGGCGGGCACTCCTGCTCGTCACCGTGCTCCTGCTCGCCCTCCTCCTCACTTCCAACACCGCCGCTGGGACCCGCCCGCTGCTGCTGCTGCTGGTCCCGTTGGGGCTGTTCGCTGCTGTGGCGTTGGTGGTTATCAGGCCCATCGTCCTGACGGAGGTTCTCGGGCGGCTGCAGCTGTTGCTCCTGCTGCTTGGCTTGTTGTGAATCATCGTCATGATGATAAGGGGCTTCAGAAACAGCCTGTTGCGGCTGCAGCAGCTGCGGTGGCGGGGGCAGCGGGGCCTCCTCTCGCGGTTCCTCCTGGTTTTGGTAGCTGCTGTCATGCTGCTGCCGCTGCAGCCGTTCACTGTCATACCTGCCGTCGTCGCGCCGAAGCCACCACGACAGCTCCGAAGACAACGCAGCAGCTAGGTTGCTGCCGCTGCAGCTGCTACTGCTGGCCGCACCGCAGGAGGCCAACCCGGCTGCTGCAGTAGTCGCAGCAACTGCAGCACCGGGGCAAGCAGCGACGCCAGCAAACATAGCAACTGCAGCAGTAGCGGCTAACGAGGCGGCGGTAGCAGGTGAACCGCAGGCCGGGTCAGGACTCCGTGGCCCATAACGCAAGGCAGCATCCTGTTGCCGTTGCTGTTGCGCCTGATGAAGGTCCGTACATGCGTCCGTACACAAAAGCGGTTGTGCCGCCGTATCTCCTTCCCTGTCGTACACCTCATGGCCGTCGCCAAGCATCATTCGGGCCAGATCCTCTCGGCTCGCAAGCCTTCGTCGGGTAGGCAGGAGCAGGGGAGTCGCGAAGTCGTTTGCAACGCGGATGGGCTGATTCGTGATACCGGTACATGGGCCTACTAGAGACAGCGGTCATGCAAGGAGGCGCATCTGGAGCCTGTGGCGTCGTGCTCCTTAAGCCTCCGTAATGATGACCGTAACAATGCGTCAACCAACCAGATTACCGGTACGTCCCGCACCCAACTCACCCCACAAAGGCCCCGCTGCCTTCCCTCAGCAGCGCCACATACTCGCCGCCGCGCCGCAGCAGCAGACCCGCAGCGGTCACCAGCCGCGCAGAAGAATGTACGGCAGGTGAGGGCGGGATGCCGTACAGAAACGAACCGATGGTGTCAACGGCAGGGTCGTGGCTCAAGCGCGCTATCCGCTGCACGTCCTGCGGGACCGAATCAGGACAGGGCGGCGGGGGGAGGCATCAGCAGGGGAGAGCGAGGGTTGGGTCAGGGGCTTGATGCACCTGTCCCTCTGACGTGGCAGCACCGTGGCTTCCCGCAGCGTTTACACGGGGTTCCATATGGCAGTCGTACTGAGGGCTTGACACTCTGACACCGGGGATGCGTGTTCATGCATGCATGATCGAATCGAACACGTATTCCCATTTAATTGAAATTCGCACCTGCAAGCTCAGCACATGTGTAGTTAGGGGCGAGGTGACAACCACGCAGCGGATTGTGGGGTCCATTGCCTGGCTAGCAGTGTGAGCCACCGTGGCATCGGGCCCAAGAACTGCATAGTCGGTCAAGGGCACCTGGACCTCCGAAACCATCGTTGCTGTCACGGGGTCAAGCGGGCGACGTAGAGGCGACATCGCGACTAGATGCAGAAATTGCGAGTCGTTGTCCATGGCATCGGCAACATGCCGCTTTGACAGCTCAATACTGGATAGGAGATCACCGGCGTCGCCGAAGGACGTGACGCTAAGTCGACGTCTGCGGGGAGTGCTGGCAGGCGGCCTAGGCAAGCCTTCAGGCACGTACGCAGAGGCGCTTTGTCGTACACAGCCATCATCAGAATCCCCACCCAAGAGGATGGAGGTAGATGTGCGGTCAAAGTGCGCCTGTGCTGTTCGGTTGGCTCGCAGCGGCGTGTTTGAGCGGCTTGTGTGATTGGGAGTCGCATGGCCAGAAGAGCGTAGAGAGGACGGGCCCACTTGGGCATGCGCCAGCGTCCCAGTTGCGGTCATGGTGCAGCTGGGTTTAAAAACAATATTCACTGCTCTATAAGTAGTAACGAACGGTAGAAGCAGTGGTTGCTTACAAGTAACTTGCAGTGCCGGCAGCTACTGCACAACAGTTTATGTTACAAAATAGTAGCTATATACTTGACAATTAGTTTATACCGCTATACGTGTGATCAGCGCATTGCAGCAGTAGTGCATCCTGCAAAAGAATTCGTTTATGGACTACGCGACTGCTGGTGTCCTACAAAAAAATTACGCACAAAGCAAATGTACACATATGTGCTACGTGTTGTATGTGTGTGTGCCTGTGTATGGGAAATGTGTACCGGTACCGGCATGCAACTGTGGTGTGCAAGGTACGGAGTCCGCGTCAGCATACCGTGCATGATCACCTTGCCCTGCGACGCTCTTATTGTTTTCGCTCCACGTGAGCAATCAGGCATTCCCAATTCTGTTGCTGACTTTGCAGCGGTTTCCCAGTTTATCCTTTGAAGGCTCCCAGGATGCCCCACCTGGATACCCCCACCTTTTGTATTCTCCTCCGAAGGGTACAACGCATCAAGTCGTGCGCGCAGCGTAAAAGGAAAAGGGAGCAACTACCTACCTACCTACCTACCTACCTACGAGCACACTACTCCACACAAGTTACACCTGTCTTCAGCACCGCCCTGCGCAATAGCCATTATTTTCCCAAGGACGCCAGCATTCCATGCAACAACATGGCAAACTTGGGGGAAGTTCGCTACAATAGCATTACCGGCATGGCATCACCGGCTTCCCCCGTCGTCACAAAGTGCCGTCCGTGGAAGGCCAGCACGCAAAACCCTTTCACCCCGCCTTCTGCACACAGCCCTGTGCATACGGCGAACTCATACTATTTGAAAAACGCCACCGCCACTATTCCTCCATGCAGCCGTTATGGTACCACGGGGGTGCTGCATTCCCACATAGCATGAGCAAGCAAGTATAGCCTTTTGGTGCTAGTCTAAAGCACCGTTATAACTAACCCTTGCTAGTTAAACAGACACTGCCATGCGCAACCATTCCATTGACAGGTCTGCCCTGGTAAGTCAGGCGGCCGCTGAGCTATTCGCCACCTTACCCCCGTGTCGATAAGATGTGCGCTAACCACGGGAAGTGCAATGAAACCGTTGAATGTTTTGTTTGCTCTTGAAGGAGGCGAAACGACGGAGAAGGTCTTGCATATTCGCTGTACGACCGCCCACCCATGAACAACCCAGGCGACCGCGCAGCTCATTTCGCCAAGCTTCTGTACCAAAGCCTAAGGGTACAGGGCAAAGCCTTGAAAGCATTCCTTCGCTGGCTTTCTGGCTTGCTCCTACCTGCACGCTGCACTGTAAACGAGCGACTTGTACCCTTAGCCTAAACGTGTGTTGCTGACGTCTGTCAATAACTGGTTGTGCTTGGTATAGCGGCTCTGTGCCGCACCCCGGAACATGGAGCGGTTTCAGGTGGGCGCGTGTGCCTCTTGCCCGTAAATATATTCATTAGGCCTTGGTTAGATCTGCGAACAAGTTGTTTTGGGTTGTCAACATGCGCAGGTTATCCAGTCGCTTGGAAGCGGAAGCTTTGGCACGGTTCGTCTGGTAAAGGACACATTGACAGAAAAGCTTCTCGCCATGAAAGTACTAAATCGGCGCGATGCCAGCAAATACGTGGAAGCAGAAATTGTCAACCACAGCTTGCTGCGGCACCCCCACATCGTGCACTTTCGCGAGGTGTTCCTTACAGACGAGCACTTGTGTATCGTCATGGAATACGCGAACGGCGGCAGCTTGTTTAACATGGTCCGGACCCAACGCCGTGTCAAGGAAAGCATGGCTCGGTGGTTTTTCCAACAACTTATCTTGGCCGTGGACTACTGCCACAAGCGTGGCGTTGCAAACCGCGACATTAAGCTTGAAAACTTGCTCTTACACCTGGAGGAGGGGCTGCCGCACCCGCTGTTGAAGATGTGCGATTTCGGGTACAGCAAAGCGGACTTCAGGTCGGCAGCCAAGAGCCAGGTCGGCACGCTCAGCTACATGGCCCCGGAGGTGATGAAGAGCTGCGGGAAGTACTATGACGCCAAGACAGCGGACGTGTGGAGCTGCGGTGTGGTGCTGTACGTGATGCTGTACGGGTAAGTCTGTGGGATCTTAGCACGTGCCACCACCTGACATGCTCATGTACCGTAGTCGCTGCCCTAACTCTGGACCTTTCCCAGTCCCCATGCAGCTCGGTCGCTCTGCCAGCAAATCAAACCCACAACGAACATACTCCCCCGCGCCCCTCACCCACTCGCCCAGCCTCGTATCTCTCCCATCCAGCTCCTAAACCCTCCCCTACCCTCCCCGCACCCTTTCCCGTCATCCCACCCACCTCCTAACCACCACAACCTCCCATTTCTCCCACTCGCCCCCTCCGCACTTCCCCCCCTCCGCCTCCCAGCATCTACCCCTTTGACAACCAGGGCGAGGACGCGGGGCTCAGCGAGGCGCAGAAGGTGCGCAAGATGTTGGAGCGCATGGAGGGCGAGGCGTATGTGCTGAACCCCCAGGTGGCCGTCACGGAGGAGTGCATCGACATGCTGCGGGGGCTGCTCAAGCCGGCGCCCGAGCAGCGCTTCTCCATCGACCGCATCATGGAGCACCCCTGGTTCAACAAGAAGCTGCCGCCGCAGGTGGGGTGGGGTGGGGTGGAGTAGGGATTGGGGTTGGGCATGGGCTCTGGGGCCGTGTCCGGGAGTGGGAGGATTGTGGGCGCGGGAAAGGGAAGAGGGAGGAGATGGCTGGCGGGTACATGGTGCGGCCCTGTGGGTCCTACCATGAGGTCCACGACTCTCGCACTGCTGCACTCCTTACTACCATTCAACTCACAGCCCCTGCATGGCCCCTGCCATGTCGCCCTGCACTCAGCCCTCCTCGCTTGCCACCCCGTCCGCCCCACCCTACCCACGCAGGCCCGCGAGATGAACGTCTACTACCTGAACCTGCCCGTGCCTCCGGAGTACCAGCGGCCCGAGCAGATTAAGAGCCTGCTGGAGGAGGCTCGTGCGGTGGGCGCGCGGTGATGTCCTGGGCGAGGATGGCGTGGGGACTGCCCGCTTGCCGGCTGGGGTAAAGAGGCTGGGTAGGACCAGGGTGCGGGGTGTCAGCTGGTCAAGAAAGGGGCTTACATGGTGATATGTTGGGTGCGGTTGGGCGTTGATGGCGTTTGGGGTGAAATCCCTGGCGTGTGTGCGGCGGATAAGGGCCGGGGTAAGCGTTGGGGGTAAAGGTCACGGGGGGGCGGGGCTAGGGGTTGCGGGCCGTGGCCGGCTTACATGCATGGCATGACATGGATCAGGCTCGGAAAAAGCAAGAAGTGTTGGTGGGTTAATGCCGCTGAACGTGTGGATCTGGATGTGCGCAGGTGTGTTGGATCTACCTGGTTTCTCCACGACCTCCTGTACCTCTTGTAGTTGCGATAACTCGATGCTGGGTTTGCACTGTGTGGGAACTTGCGAGCGCTAACGGGTTGATGCGTTGAACGTATAGTGTGTTTGTTGGGCTGTGGGTAATGCGAAGGGAGCGGTGCCCTGGCTCTGCGTTGAGAATGCGCGGGGCAGGATGAGGGGATCAGGATGTCATTTTTGTCAAGTGTTGGTGACCAGAGTATACAAAAAAGGAGTTCTTACAACAGATGGTGCGGTGAATGGTCTCGAATAGCACCCCGTATACCGTGACCGCGGTTGCGGGATCATGGAACGCTGGTAGGGAGCAGCACTGTCTTTTGTCTCTGCAGCGATTGCCGAGCTGAGAAACGGGGCCTCGAGAAGCTGGTTGGTACGGCAGGCTAGTACGACAGGAGAGGTTGACTTGTCTCATGAACAGCTGACGAAAATGGCGGAGGAATCCAAAGTACTTGAGTAGTAATACTCGCAACACGCTAGCTCACTTGGCTCCATCCGAGCCTCGTTCTTGCAGGACGTAAGCGTGTCTCTTTCGACGGGGGTTTACTTTGTGCAGGATGCAAGCGCGTGTGCAGGATTGACTTAGCCTCGTGTGCGTTCGTGTTACAATTAAGCAATTAAGCAGCTTGTGCGCGTGTCTTAGTAGCACGTAGCAGGTATGTGTGCCTTGATGAGTAGGCGCTTAGTGTGCAGTTGGCCGATGTCTTGTCTTGAACTCTTGACCGTGCGGGGTAGTTGTTGCCCTTGGGCTTGGATGTCCGAGCGAGCGTTGGAACAAGTACGCGCGTTGCGTAGGGTAACGGTGCTGTGGTGTAGGAAGAATGCCGCGGTGCCTGACGAACGAGCTAATGGTAAACTGTGGTGGTGGCCATGCGGGCTCTCTGCTGGCATTATGCTCCTGCATGTGCACGCAGCGCATACTCCCAGTAAGATATCCCCAAGAATTGCTTTGTCCCCAATGCACTACATGGCCACATGGCATGGAAAGTGCGCGTACAACTTGTAGTGTCATAAAAATAGCGGATGCACGAATGCCCCACGACTGGGCACATGCAGTACCACCGGCTTTCCTTCGATACGAACGTGCACGCATGCTCCATACGAACGCGACAACCGACCCATGGGCCTCTAGCCGCATATATCACCCACACACGACTTCAAAAGCAAGCCATGCATAGTGCGATTGAAGAGGCACCAGAAGTCATTTTTCATGACAATATTGCATAGTTCCTTATTGCTGGAACCACCCCCTGGCGTGACCTACGACAACCCATGCCACTTGAGGCCTGTAGATTCAATCCCATTCGCTCACCAGCGCACACGACAGGACTCAAATCAGCACGGTCCTGCACATGTCAGGCGCTTCCATGCCGTTCCTAAATACCCATGTCCTCAGCATATCAATCAAGCCAAACAAACAGAAAATAGCCCTAGGCACCTGAGCGCTCCAATGCCTCATGCACATTCTCCTATGCCATCTGCACAATTGGGGTCAGGGTTACACTGCTAATGCGCAAGTGCCTGCGCGCCACCTTGCTCTAGTCCTCTAACAACACTCCTCGCATTCGCACAGCGAGGAGCAGTGGCCCTTCGGAGCATGCCGGAACAACTGTACGGCGAGTGAACCATGAAAGTCTTGACAATGGGTCAAGTCTGAAGTGAAGCACCCGTTCGCAGCGCCCTTTCCGCAACACTCCCATAGCGCATGGTGCAAACCCGAGACACTTCAAAGGCCCTGAAGGCCACTTCAACACGACGTATCCTGCCTGGTCATTCGTCCGTTATCTAGACAGTCTCTCGATCATGCATAAAGTCTCCTCATCTCTCGCCTCCATTACGATCTTACGTTTGGTAATAGAAGTCACGGTAAACCTGGGTAAGCACATACTAACTGCATAGGCCGCAAGCTAACCAGCATTCCCCCCGCCTCGTTCCGCCTCATGTTCACATCTTCCACATCTAGTTCCCCCACCACAGCACCCGTAACAGGCATACATGCTCTGCAGGAGCTCCAACCCCTAATCGGCGCAGGAAGACGTATGGCTGCAACACGCTTCACCTTAACACCCATCCAACCTATTCCTCGACGATCTTCACTGCACGCAGACACCAAGCAACCACCTTCACCCGGGAACCATCCCGGCCTTGGTTTACATGTGCACCTCGCATTCCGCGCGCCTCCCCTGAACTGCGTCCGTCTCCTTAAACCACCGCCATGCCTGCCCCCGGAGCTCGGTGAGACCACAAGGAGTTGCAGGAGTGTCCATACCTTTCGGCCTTAACGGGCTCTTTAACTAGGAGAAATGACGGGCTCTTCAGCTAACAGAAAAACCTGGGACGCATCGACCGCGAGGCATCCCCACGGCCTGCGGCTAGGGCCAAATGATGATGCCAGGGCTCCCTGCACGGCCAGCTCTTTCCTAGTTATGCTCAGCGGTTATCAAAAGCTTCGGCCGCAAGTCCGGGGCCGCAACTGCTAGGCTCCGCCAGCGTAGTAAACCACACCAGCGCCCGCACCAGCACCAGCTGTGCTACTGCTACTGCTTGGCCTGCTGCTGCTGCTGCTGAGCGGAGTTGACCTTGGCAAGGAACGCCTCCAGGGTTGGCAGGTAGCCGGAACACATCTCCAAGTCCTGAGCAGACAAGCAAGCCACAGCAGGCCAGCCATGTTACCGCACCTGCATCTGCTGACCTTGCGTCCACACAACCCCCCCCCCGAGTCACTGCAAGCGCGAACATGGGGCTGCCCGCCCCGCCCTGCCCCGCCTCACCCCAGCCAGCTAACCCACCTACCTGGTGTCCGTACCCTGCGGCCCACAGCGGTGTGCCCTTGTTGGGGCAGAGCTCCAGCAGCCGCTTGCCGCACGAGATGTGGATCACCTCGTCCTCGGTGCCCTGGGGAAGGGAGGGGGAGAAGCGAGGGCAAGAAGCGCGGGGTTGAGAGGGATCAGAGGATGTTGAAGGGAAGGAGGGTTCACATGGAGCTGAGCAATGCGCATGCGTTCATAAGTTGCAGATGTAGGTAGGAACCCAGGAATGATACACACCGTCCTTCCTTTGTATGCACTGTACCCCCGTCGCCTCCTCACAGCCGCCCTACGCCCTTCGCTGCACCCCAACACCCCCTCAACACCTCCGCAGCCCCCCGCTCCCCCTCACATGCATCACCAGAACCGGCGCGCGTATCTTGGGCGCCAACGTGTGGTTCGGGTACACATCCGCCCACGCCGGCCACCACTTGACATGCGGCTTCAGCACCCGCACCCCGCTCAGCAGCGGCGAGTGCAGCACCACACCCCCCAGGTCAGCACGCTCCGAAGCCAGGTAGCACGACGGACCGCTGCCCACGCTCTGGCCGTACAGTACGACACGGCTGGGTGGGATGCCGTACGAATCCTGCAGGCACTGCAGTACGGCCGAGATGTCTGCCAGGGTGTTGTTGACGGTGGGTGTGCCGGTGCTGCAGCCGTAGCCGCTGTAGTCGTAGCCCATGACGTTGACCTTGAGCAGCCGGGAGAGCTCCCTGGGAGCATGGGCGGGGAGAAGAGGGAGGGAGTGGGTGGCGGGCGGGGAGGGTTGGGATGGAGAGTAGTATCTGGAAGCAGGGTCTACAGAAACAGAGACTAACCAGGGACAGAGGTAAGGTTTCAGGACAGGGTTTCAAGGTCCGGGTGTCAGGGCTGCTACCCGGTTGAGACATGCGCGCTCGCATGGGTATGTGGTACGGCAAGCTAGAGGACATCCGACAAGGCCACATGGTATGCCAGGCACCCGGGCTTACCCATGCGACCCACCGGCTCTCCTTATCCCGCACGACTCCCCCACCACTTGCACGACCCCCCCACTTCGCCCCACCTGTACACCGGCAGCATGTGCCCCAGGTCGACTGCATTGCCGTGACTGTACAGCAGCGTCAGCCGCTCCTGCTGCTGCTGCGCCCGCTGCGGCTGAGGAGACGAGACAGCGGAGCCGCCCGTGGCAGCCGCAGCCGCCTTGCTGCTGCTGCCGTGGCTTCCGTACCGAAAGAAAGCGGTTACAACGCGCGTGCTGCCGCCGCCACGTTTCAAAGGCGGCACTGGAATCACCTTGACCTTGCATTGGGGCACCCGGGGGACGTCGCTGCGGGGGACGAACAGGGTTGGGGGGAGGGCGGGGGGGGGGGGTAGGGTCAAAGGGAGCGGGCAACGGGGAGGTTCTGATGGAGGGGACATGGGCTTAGTACCGGAGATGTGTTCAAGGGTGCAGTAAGGCAGCTGGATAAGGACCTGGTGGGCCAGGGTTCGGTTTGGTGTCTGGAAGGGACAACAGGGCAGCAGGGGAGCGTCCTTGATGGTTGTGTACGGACCGTAGACGGTGGATAGGGAGCAGGTGGTCCTTCCTTTTCGAAGGCATGTGCTAAGGAAGTGGTCTTCAGCGTCTGTACGGGAAACGCAGCGTCAACCGCTATAGTGGCAACACGCACGCTGTAGAAGCGGCAGGCACGCCAGTAAAGGACTACGTGTTATAGCCTGCTGCAGCCCAGCGGCTATGCCAAAGCGCACTCACGGAGCGAGCGGGTGGAGATACAATTCTCCAGTTCCATCTTGGTGTTCTCGCACGTCATAAGTAGGTGGTTGCGGCGGAAAGAAAGCAAGGCGAGACGAGATGTTCTCCACCAAGCGATCCCAGGGCCCCATTGCTTGCAATGCAGCTGGTTAAACTTCCCCAAATGTGGCCTGGCTAGTTAACTGGAGGGTGACGCTTCACAGAAGGCTGCCCCTAGCAGCCTAAGGACTGATGAATTCTATGGCATACTTCATATCTCTCAAGGCCCTTCACAGGCCGACCTTGAGGAACCTGGCGTCAAGGTTGCCGCGGGTTACAGAAGCGTGAGCGTCGAAGGTGTCAACACAGTTGTCCCGGGAACAAATAGGGTTGACTAAATCAAAGTAAATGTTACGAAAGGCTGGCCGAGGTTCGTCAGTACAGTAAGGCCAAGGCGCGAACACTACCCTTCAGGTCTAGGGACTGCACCGACCGCTCGCACGCAATGTAGCTAGAAAGGCATAATAATGTTAATAAGCACGCATGGACCCTAAGTTCCCTGGGTGTTATGCTGTACGGAACTACTACATTGGCCAATCTGCCAATGCAGCAGACCGTGCACATACCGGTAGTGCCGATTACCTAGTACCGGTATGTACTTGTCACACTTGACGCATTATACACGTTCATCCTGTTGAATCGCCATGTGTGACCCTCGGGCTAACTGCTGCTGCCGGGCACAAAGCCCCCTTTCGACTTCTTCGTCTTTTTCGCCCGCAGCACATAGAAAGATGTAAACAGTACCATGGGCAGGTGTCAATAATGACATCCGAGGCCCACCAATGAGCTCATCATGGGGGGCTGCAAGAGCATGGAGTACTGACTTGCGCGGAGGCGGCAGGGGCGGAGGGGTGTTGCAGGGATGGTCAGCGAGGTGGGTGGGAAAGAGAGGTTCGTAAGGGGGCAGCTGAGGAGGAGGCTGCGGCCGAATGGAAAGGGGTGGGGCCGCTAGCCCGGGCCATTATGAAGGGACGAGGGACAGAAGACGGGAGCGAAGCAGGCGGGGGCACGAAAGACAGGGACGGCTAGGCAGGGTAAAGGGGAAACGGACAAGCTGTATGTCACGGCCTCACCATGGGGTGCAAGCATGATAGCCGACCCAGGCGGGGGAAAGAATAAGAATACCGTGCTGTGAACAGCAGTGGTGCAGCAATAGGGAGCATAAGGAGGAGGCCGGCAAGGGGCAAGGGGAAGCCGTGAGGTCCCAGCAGAGCGGCATCCGGTAAAGGCGCTGTTTGCAGGCAGAGGGAAGCCTTGCGCCGGGCAACACTGCTATGCGGGACGCAGGCGGAGGGCAAATGGAAGCCGGCATAGGATATAACTATGCCGGCTGTGGCATAACGAATACAGCGGGGACCTTATTGGGGGCATGAGGGAAGGGGACTTGGTGGAGGAGGAGTTGGCAGCCGGAGGAACCACAAGCAACTTGACGATCTGCACCAGCCGCCTGTGCAGACCACTGCGGGTCGCCTACCAGCCACCTGTGCGTCTGCATACCGCCAGGAACCTCTTTCCAGCCGCCCCTGCATGCGCCATGATCGGAAACCCCCTTCCGAATCACCTATGTGTCATATTGTTACCCGCCCTTTGCCCATGCGATGCCCTACTGTTGCCCCAAACCCGTGTCCCATGGGTCATGTCGCATTTGGTCAACCCTTGCCTCCCAGGTAACCCTCTAAAGTTTTGGCCCAACCCCACTTATTGGCGTTTGCAGCTTGCTTTCAATAGAGTCCCTCCCGCCCTTCGCAGCTCTTCAAACTGTTGGCGCGTCATGCATTTACATCCCTAACTTTACCTTTTGTACTCTGCTCAGTGCTCACCGATATACAGCCATGTCCGGGTTCGCCCCCATAATATCTCCAACCCCGTCTCCCATAGTCCAGCTCAAACAAATTACTCAGGACCTCACCCGTTCCCCTCCCCGGCTGCAGGGCCCCACGACGGGGAATTGTTGGGCCACACACTAGCTGGTCACGTCCCGCGCCTCTGGCTCCAAAAGCAGAGACGTACAACCATAACAATTATTGGCTCGGGCATTACGCAGTCAGAAGAGCTTTACAGCGACTATAGCTCCCCAAAGGGCTGCCAGCATCGGGCATTTCCAGCTGGTCGTCGCTACAGTAGTCGAGTGTAAGTGCATATTAAAGGGCACACTGAAGAGTGTGAACGGCAGCAAAGCTGTCTGACGAGAGGTTGTAGGACGTTATTGGAGGCAATAGCTCGTGGTGAACGACGCTTGCATTAAGATGACTAGTCCCAATAAGCTATCGTGCTTTATGTTATGTGCAGGCTTTTTGGCCTGGCAATTGCGAATTTGATAGGTGGAATCGCTTGCCGGACAAAGCACAACGATCTACTGTACACCACAGCAAACAGCGTCCACAGTTTGCAGCTAACGAACACTAGTAAAGTGGTGCTAGTGTTTTACCTAATTGTTCCTTCTAATTTTGCTGGATCAACTCAACCTTCTTACGCGTCACCCGTAGAAGGATGCAAGTTTCTTGCCTCCACGGCCGACATGCCCCTTTTTCTTGTAGACAGTACAATAGAGTATCACCTGTTGGTCGTCTTCTAGGGAGGCGGCGCTTCTCGGTGCTTGTGCGCGCTCAGGACGACTCCGACCAGCGGATAAAGCGGACGCTTGAGGGACTAGACGCGCTGCTCGGAATTGACCCTAACGATCCTCAATCCAGCCCATCTTCGTCGTCGCCGAAGGCCACTACTGCGGTGCGCGAATCATCCTCCGCCTCCGTCGATGCCTCGCGGCCGACGACTACCAACCCGCCGAGCGCCAGCGGCACCACACCCAGCGCCGGCAGCAACGGAGCCAGCAGTAGTAGCGGCGGAAGCGGGGCGCCCGGCGAGGACCAGTTCCTAAAGATAATCGAAAAGGCTCGGCAGCTTGCAGATGCGCAGAACAGCAACAAGCCCGGCAACATGGAGGTGCAGCAGCAACAGCTGCGGCAGGAGTTCGAAACCCTGCTGCAAGCCATGAGCAAGGGCAACGACATCCTCGATAAAGAGGACCTAAAACGTCTGAAAGAGGCTGCTTTTGGTCCGCAAACCTTCTGGGTCACGGAGACCCAAACCCTGCAGGACCTCGACAAAACCGGCATCCTCATTCGCGGCAACCTGCGGGACTCCCGCGAAAAAGTCTTCGCCCACGTTTGCGCCAAGGTTTCGGAGCTCTTCGGCCCTGGCAAGTACGAAGTCATTTTGATTGAGGACGAGCAGCAAGCCGGCGAGTCAGAGCCCATGGGCAAGGCCGCCTCCTTCGGACCCCGCGTCGCCTTCCAAATCGTTCCCGCCGCCCAAGCGCAGCCCCCACAGCCCTCCGGCTGGCTCCAATCCATCGCCCTCGTGCTTTTCCTGCTCTTCCTCGCCTCCAGCCTGCAACTCTCCCTAGTCGCAAACATCACCAAGCTCCCGCGCGAAACCCTGGAGTACTTTGCCAACTCCGAAAACCTCAACTCCGACGTCCTGCCCCCCGGCCTCGAAAACTGGGACCCCACCTCCTACTTCATCACCGCCGTCCCCATCTTCGTGTCCGTGCTGGGCATCACCATCGCTCACGAGGTCGGCCACCGCATCGCAGCTGCCGTCCGCGGAGTCAAGCTGGGCCCCTCCTACTTCATCCCCAACCTCACGCTGGGCTCCTTTGGTGCCATCACACCCTTCGCCTCGCTGCTGAAGGGCCGTACGGCGCTGTGGGATGTGGCGGCGGCGGGTCCGCTTGCCGGCGCGCTGGCGGCGTGTGCGGTGCTGGGTCTGGGTTTGCTGCAGTCCGCTCCCGGGGTGCTGCCGAAGGAGCTGCTGGTGCCGGTGCCCACCACGCTGTTCCAGTCGAGCTTGCTGCTGGGGACGGTGGTGAAGGCGGTACTGGGGGATCAGGTGGGTGGGGTGGGTGGGGAGGTGGGGAGGGAGGTGGGTAGGGTGAGGAAAACGGGTAAGCGCCGTAGGATAGGAATATGGGTGGATAGGTGGGTAGGGTGCGTCGGATGGCTTGCCCTTCCCTCCCTCCTACCGTTGCTTCGCTTCAACGGGCGGTCTACACCATATTCTCTCGACTCTGCCACATGCACCTCACTCTCCTGTTCGCCCGTACCCACCCCCGCAACCCCCCACCCCACCCACCCCAGCTGGGCTCCGGCAGCGAGGAGGTGCTGATCAGTCCGCTGGTGATCGCGGGCTGGGTGGGGCTGGTCACCACGGCGCTCAACGCGCTGCCGGTGGGCTCGCTGGACGGGGGCCGCATGATGCAGGCGGCGTACGGGCGACAGGTGGGGGGGCAGGGGGCAGGGAGGGGGGGGCACGATGGGATAAGAGCTGCAAGGATGCGGGGGGCGGGGGGTGGGGTGCGGTGAGGCTGGCAGGGGATTGCGGAGCGGCATGCACCCGGAGGGACGTCGGTTCGTGCTGTCCTGCTGAACCTGTGACGGCCCGGTGTGGGGCTGTCGAGAGGTTGTTGGGTTGCCGCAACGGACCCCCAACCAGCACCACCACCACCCACACACCACGGATATGGGATTGGGACTCGTTTATAATTTTTTTCACCCCACACACGCCCCCTCCCACCCCCTCCCTCCCTCCACAGGCTCTGGCGCTGTCCTCCTTCTTCACGTACGTGGGTCTGGGTCTGGGGCTGCTGGGCGCCAACGTGTCGCTGCCCTTCGGACTGTACGTCATCATCTGCCAGCGCACCGCGGAGAAGTACATCCAGGTGGGCGGGTGGGAGCTCAACCGCTCCGCTCTCCTCTTTGAGTCCCTCCCTCGGTTCCGTACACTCCAAACACCCGGAGCTTGTTGTCTGGTTTGCATTCTCATTTTCAACGCATTGCAAATTCTTCTTTCCCCCTGCTCCCCCGGTCCCCACCTAACCAGGACAACGTGAGCCCGGTGAGCGGGTTGAAGCGCGGCGCCACTGCGGTTGCGGTGCTGGCGGCGCTGCTGGTGCTGGTGCCCATGGCGCCCGAGGTGGCGGCGTCCATCGGGGTGGGGCAGGGGGAGGACCTGTTCTTGTGAGGGGGGAGGGAGGCTGGTGAGGGGAAGGGAGGGCAGGAGGGAGAGGGAGAGGTCAGGCAAAGAAGAAGGGTGTAAGTGAGGAGGCAAGGGGATGACGTAAGTGCCGGGCTGGGAACGCCTGTGGTCGGGAGGATGGGTTAATAGAGGTTAAAGAAAAATGAGGAGGGGTGCTGGAAGCGGCGGCTGGTCCGGAGACGGACAAGGGCCGTGCGAGAGGGAGGGCTTGAGGGATGGGGCTGACGGGTGCGGTCCGTCAAGCCTAGGATGAGAGATGTTGTGCTTTTTTGCAGCTGGAGTGAGTGAAATGTGATGAGTGAGACTTGCGCGCCCGCTTGCTGAGTGGTTGAGGGTGTGCCTTAGGGCCGAGAGATTTGCCAAGTGGTGGCTTTTGTCAAGTACATTAGGGGCGCTGTTGGGTTTTGCGCGCTCAGGCCCCGTTGGGTGTTGGCCGGAGGTAATACCGGTAGCTCCGCGTGGTGTCATGGCATGTGGAGGAGGGAAGGAAGGAGGATGTTCGTAGCAACTGCAATCCAGGGAATGCGATGAGGCGGACACGTTTGTCCGCTTGCTAGGTGGTATCGTAGTTGTTGTTGGGATAAAAGATGTTCGCTGGAGTCATAAGTATCGAGTGAGGGGCGTTTTTTGAGGTTTTTGGGTGAATGATTGCGGGCCTGAGCTGGTTTGGGTTGGTTGCACCGTCATCAGCAGCATCGGGCCGGGAGGTTCATGCGAGGTTACGAGATGCGCGTTGTTGGGTCCTGCTGGTGGCTCCCAATGGACGTTTGCATCTACCTGCATCGTGCATGCATGCAGTGCGGGGGCGCCCCGGTAGTACCCCCGCCCATTGAGAGAGTCAAAGTCAGAGATAGTTGTTATGGAGGAGTGATAAAGAACTGCTTGCGTTCCGTTCCGTTGGGAGGGACGGTGCGCTTGGGGTTTAGGAGATTAGGACACAGCGGCGACACCCGGGTGAGGAGTGGCAGTGGCAGTTGAGTCGCGCGGAAGCATGGTGATGCCGTTGCCTGTATCCTCTTCTAAAGGTCCTCCGCACTGCGACTGCATTCCGGATTTGCTGGTGGCTGGTGTTGCGTGCTGCTGCTACTTTTCGCCTCCCGATGATGTTGTCTTGTGTTGTTTCAGATGGCTGCTATGCGAGAGTGGTTGGGCCGTATTCGAGGCAGTCCCTGATGTTCCTGGGTCTTAGATTGCAGTTTCTGGTGCTGCTGCTGGAGGGGCATGCTGCTAGGGGCAACGTGCAGACGGCGCGTTACACAGGCGCTCACCTCACGTGCTGGAGAGGTACGGTGGAGGCAGGGTGGAGGAGGAAGGCTTGAGGAACAGTGACTTCACTGCTCGCTGGACGCATGCCGGATGAGTTGGGATATGAGTGCCTTGGAAGTGCGGGACGAGTGGTGATTGCGGGTTAGCTTTTGGGGTTTAGGTACTATGGGATACCCACCCGGGCTTTTGGTTTTGACAGCTTGCTGACCGCGAGGAATCAACGCTGTCCGTGTTGTTGAGGTAAAGGGATAGACAAAGGGGGAGCCGATGTGCTCCCAGGGCACTGCCCCGTTGTACAACTTGTATTGCAGGATGTGAATGTACGACATTCGCCTTCTTCCCGAGTCAGGAACGTTTGCTGGTATTGGCTGTGCCGTGAAGCCGCTCCCGCAGCTGCCGCAATGCCGCCCGGTGCAGGATGTAATGAAGGTTGCCGCCGGTATTGGCGCTGGGTGCATGCGCTCATGTGAAAGCCTGGGGAGTGGCGGATACTGGTTGGGTAGGCTTAGCTTACCGGCACGTCGCGCAGTAGTAGCAGTTCAAAAGCAAGAACACCGTGACCGTGACTGGTTGCAACATGGTCGGCAAAGTACCTCCGGACACGCACACGAGTGAACACGCATACTCGCGGCCTGCGTTCTTTACACGTGTGGTCATAGTGGTGAACTCAACATGATAGAATCGTACACAACACATGTTCTACGCGCATTGGACATGTTCTTTGGCATAGCATCACGGTCGTTGTCGTCTAACGCCCAGTAACTAAAGACAAAATGACATGTACGTCAACCCCAAAAGGTAATGCAATTCCTTGTGGCGGCAAACTTATGCGTCCTTCTGAGACGCCGGGAAGCGGTTCCTGTGTACGTCACACCCTCATGCTGCGACCCGTGGGTCACATGCCGGATGAGCAGGATGAGCAGGTAGGATGAGCCGGCGCCCGTGAAAGCGAAATGGACCGTCTTAATACCGCACCTTTATCGTATCTCCGCTGCTACACTGCACTGCCACCGACTGCCCGTCACAGCCAGCGCGTTAAGGTATGCATGCATATGTACTCGCAATGTGTTTGGAGAAGTACACAACCTACCAAGCGCAAACAGTTGGGATTCATTTAAGATGCATTATGGACTTGAGGTGAACGCATATCGAGATCTCGTCTTGTAAACGTTGTTTTGTTCGCATGGATGGATGGGCGCATCCTAACCGGGAGATGCGTCTGCGCCGAAGCGCAAACCAAGTTGAGCAACCCCCACGAACGCATGCATGCGTTTTATTGAGCACAAGATCAAGACAATTCGCTTACAAGCTCTACCTGAGTAGTTGCGGGCTGGCTGGCAAGAACCGGCGGTAGTCGCGGTACATACATAATAGTGAAGGGACATCAGCCTTACGCAATGTTTAGGCGGTTTGAAGATACACCGCTATACAGAATATTTGGATGCGGTGCAACAAGGTTCAGCGTTTTGCAGGAATTCGAGGGTTCGGTTCGCATCCTCGAAATCGCACGATGGCCATGACGTGCACATTCCCCGTGCAGCGCGCAGTATTCATATGGCATTATACAATTATACTCAAGCTATGCTCATTACGATTTCGCCTTTTGTCAAATTCGCGTCCACTCGTGCGGGCTTTCCAACTTTGCAACCGCTAAATTGAAGGTCACGCCAGGCCTGAAGGCCCAGCCAATCCTGCAGTAGTTTCTCAAAGTCTATCTTTTAATTAGCGAAGGTTTTGGTGGAGCTCGGCAAGCCGTTCGCACACAGGGCTCCAGTTGCTCAGAGCCTTGTAACCACGCGGCAACAGAGACTTCCAGGCGCAACACAGGCAACGCCAATCTGAAGGTATTTAGGCATTACGAATACGTGCTAGCACCCATGCGGCTCGCCTTAGTAAAAAATGCGACAAGTGACCCTGCGAGTCGAGCTGCGCTTTAGGTTAAGTTGGGCTAAGTGTACATATCTTTGAAGTATTGATATGCTGCCTATTTTGCTTTATAAACTTGTAGTGCATGCAACCTTCAGTGGCGGATAAAGTAAAGCATGCAAGCTTGCTACCTACCGTGGCGCGCATTGCCACTGAGCACGCGAGGCTCATATGCACAACCTCCGTTCTACAAAACATGTAGTGCACTGATAGTTTTACGCCTTTTAGATAGCTTGGTCTCTGTCCAGCATCCATGGCATGTGCATGCAGCATGTTTCCCCAGGGGCACTATCTAGCCTCACGGATAGGGTAACGGAAAAGCCATTTGATATATTTTACTTAACACAGTGAGTACCACTTTAAGGAAGGCAAAGAGCACTGCAGACACTTGGCTTGCTGCATTGCCGACGTGTTGTAGCGGTGGCCTTCTGTAACCCATCTTCATGCTAATTCTCTGTCGTTGAGCTGATCGAAGTGCATCTTTCCTGCTTTTGCCCTCTCCCTCCTTAGTCCCAGTACTATATACGAACGTTGGGCGCGCCAAAGGACCTGCAAAGGACTCCACAAAGGACTACGGTCGACTGGAAGGAGCAGATGGCCCCTACTGGAGGGCAAGCAGAGACTGACGATCCAGGGGTTAGGAGTAAAGCGCCGGTTCAGCAACAGCAACCGCCGCATCCCCTGCAGGCACTGCATCCCATCCCGGCAGCAAAACCCGAAACACTCGTCTCGGCTCCACAGCAGGAGCAGCAGCAACGTGCCCTAGCGCCGATGCAGCTGCAACATGATAATCCATCGCAGTTGCATCCCAAAGGACAGCACACAGACTTGGAGCACGAGCGCAAACGCGATCAGGCAATCCAGTTCATCCGGGGGCCGCAGCTGCAGCCGCGCGCGGTTGCATGCATGCCGCTGCTGGATCTCTCACCCATAAGGCCCTTTGGGATAGCGCTGCAGCCAACAACAGCATCACCGCTTGTCGTAGCTCCGCCGGAGGGGCCCTGGCGGTTCTTGAAGAAAGAGCCAGAGACATGTCAGGCACTGGTGATAGCATCCGCAGTTGGAGCAGTACCGGCAGCGGCGCCAGCGTTGCCAGCAGCAAGCGTGGACGAACGCCACGTGGATTCAATGCAACAGCAGCAGCAGTCACAACAACAGGAGCAGTGGCAGGGGTTCGGGCTACCGTTGCCGCTGCCGGTTCCTCGACCGCCTTCGCAGCGGCAGCGGAGGCAGCCCTGCACAGCCGCGGCACGCAATTCGGGTCCCCCGCAAGCTCCCCATGCCCTGCCGCCGCCGTCACCTCCTCCACCTTCGTCCTCGTCGCCTCTGGCGTTCTGGCACCCTGGAGATCAAGATGACTGTACGGCGGCGTCTTCCGATGCCGCCGCCGACTCGTCGGCATGCGGTGCTGGTGGACCGTGGCATCCTGGCGGCGGCGCTGATACGGCGCTTTCGCAGCCCCCGTCGCTACCTCTGCCGCAGCCGCTGCCGCAAGAACCCCATGAGGAGCAGCAGGGGCGGCGGAGGAGACGGCGTACGGCAGGTACGACACCGTCGCGCCTTCAGACGGTTGTCGTGGCTACGGCGACAACCACAGCTGCAGCCACAGCTGCTCCTTTTGAGTCAGGGCGAAATCATCAATGTGCAGACCGCGGTGTCAGCGACGATGGCGGAAGCGGCGGCGGCATTGGTGGCCCGCCGCCTGTTTTCGTGGCCGACGATGACGTCTCGGGGGATTTCTGGACGCATGAGGTTGATCCGCGGGAGGTGGGCCTGCCGGAGGGTGAGTGCACAGTGCAGGATGGCTTGGGTCCATGGGTCTGCGTGTTAATCCAATTGGCCGGAAAACTGACACGGACCTTGGAGAGAGGGGAATTGGCTGTCGATACCAAGTAGGTAGCCCACGTTTACATGCGTGTGCTGCTAATGCATCTCGTAGTACGGTAAGCGCTGCCTCCTCGGTTGGTTACCAATCTAGGCATTAGTCGACATAGTACCGGAAAAAGGCGTTCCTTGGGCTCTGGAGGCTAAACGACAGTCCGAAAGTTAAATGCACATTGTTCCGCGGACAGGGACGCACTTCCCAGCTGCCCCTGATAATCCCGCTCGCCGCCACCACCCCCTCCAGGCTGGCGCTGCTGCTGGAAGCTGCGGGCGGGCGGCAAGGAGGCGGGTCGTCGCAAGGACTTCCGGTTCCAGGTACGGTACGGCACCGGACGACAGGTGCTGCGGCTGCTGCTGCTGCTGCGAGGGCCGCATTGGCTATCGCCCGTAGCCGTAGCCGCATAACGCCTTATACTTAAAGCTGAGATGCGGCTTGCGGGCACAGGCCTTGGAGTACACTTGGTGTTTAGAGATGCATATATGCTCGACTACCAGCCCACGTGACCCCAAGTGACCTGCCCCCTGTCACCGGCCCTCTTCCCCTTCCTCTCCCGCCCGCACACGTGCGCCCCGCATGTGTCGCCTCAGTCCCCAGACGGGCGGAGGTTCATCAGCCTGCTCAGCGCGAGAGACCATGCGGCGCTCCTGGCAAGCAATGTAGCTGCGCCGGCAGCCAATCTTGCTGCAAGCACAACTGCAGCTGCTGCCGCCGCCATCACGGAGACAGTTCCTGCAGCTCTTGGTACAAGCGACGCGGGCGGCTGCGGCCCTAGCGGAGGCGGCGGAGGTGCCGGCATCGGTCGTGTAAAGCGCGCCGTCGCCGCCGCCGCGGCGTCATGTGGCACCACAACGCAAGCCCGTGGCGGCGGTCGTGTCGCCGGCCGGGGTGCCCGTCGTGGCGGCAGCGGCGCCGCCGCCGCCGCATTTCGCGGCCGCCGCCGCCGTAAGCTCCTTCGCCGCGACCTTGACGGCGATGGTGACGTCACCAGCGATTGCGGTACAGATGCCGAGGAGGAGCAGCCGCATGATGACCAGATGTGCGCCGCGAGTGATGCAGCGGCGGACGACATCATGGGCGCTAGAAAGCACTCGCGCTCGCCTGCGGTCTTGTACGGGACGTCCAATGTCACGTTGTACGGCAATGGGAGGAGAGCTCCGGGTGTCGAACAGCTTCGAAATGGTCGCAGCCAAACTCCGGAGCGCGTCGTTGGTGTCGCTATTGGCGAATGGTGTGTAAAACCGGAAGCGGCGGCGGTGGCGGCGGCAGCGGCAGGAACGGCAGTAGCGGCGGCGAGGCGCGTATGGAGCGAGGAAGATGAGGAGGCGCAGCTAAGTGGTCTCGATGCGCTAGCAGCTGCAGCGGCGGCGGTGGGCCGTGACGAGATGAAGGCCTGTCGGCGGGAGCGTAAAGCGGCGGTAGCGGCTGAAGCGGCGATGGCGGCGGCGACTGCTGCCGCCGCAGTCGTCGCCTCGACTCAGGCGCTGCCACCGCCACTGCCATGCCCTTTCATCCCACAGATTAGTCCTTGCACAATGCTTGTGCTGCATCCGAAACCTGTACTGGTTTCGCCGCCGCCGGCGTCTGATTTCAAGCAGGAACACGCACCTTCGATGCTGTCCTTGGGTGCCATCACCTACGAGGGCCCGCAAGGGCACATAACATTACCACCATGCCAGCCAGCTGGGGGTGAAGACAATGCCGTCGCTGGCAGCAGCATTCCCCCCGCAGTTGTGGTGATGCCGCTGGACGGACGAGCGGTGTCTGCCGCCGCCGCTACGGCAGCAGCGGCAGCGACACGGCTAGGCAGCAGCTCCTCCTCTTCATCCACGTCGTCGTCGTCAGCGGAGGAGGACGGCTACGACAGAGCTCACCGCCGTACCCTGCGGCGCAGAGTGAATAGAGTGGGACCGAGTTCGGCTGCACTGCAAGTCCCCAAGTACGCAGCTGCTACTCCGCTTGGTGCCGACGTAACGCACAAAAGGGGTATTGGCGGCAACCGAAGCGCAAGCGAACAGCCTGCCGACTGCTTGCAAAACGTTAACCTGCGGGGTTCACTAGAGGATGAATGCGAGGAAGAGGTTGGCCTCGAACGGCCGCGGCGGCAACGGCGGGACCTTCCGCCGTTATGCGGTGATGCCGCTGGAAAACCGGCAGTGGTCGAAGACCGCAGCCGCCAGCTCCTGGCGACGACAGCCGCGGCAACGACGGCGGCGGCGGTAACGATAGCGACGGCGGCTGGTGCCGTACCTGCGCTTGCCGACAAGTCGCCCCTGTCTGCTGCACGGCTGACACTGACGTTCAGCCTAACGCTGGATGAGTTGGTGCGCTTGGCTACTGCCTGCAATCCTGTCACACAACGACGCAGCGACTGCTCGTCCTCCTCTTCTGCTGCTGCTGCTGCGTCCTTTGAACTGTCTGCGGCGTCGCGGCGATCCCTCGTAGCCGCAGTGTCGGCGCACAAACATGAGACACCGGGCGGACAGCATGCAAGCGAACAGCAGCACCAGGAGCACTTGTGGCATGCTCTGGATGAGATTCTAGGGCTCCTGTCGTACGGCCTGGAACCAGATCGAGATCCAAATCCAAATCGGGATCCAACCGAAGATCCGGCAGCCATTGCCGCTGCCGCGACGGCCGCTGCGGCTGGCTCGGGCCCTGCCGGCATGCAGCCCTGTTGTGAACCCCAGCCGGCAGGTACGAGTGGAGTTGGTACAGTTGATGAGGCAGCAGCAATGGCGACAATACCCTCGGCAGCGGCGGCAACATCGTTGGCGGTGGTAATGGCGGAGGTGAAGACGCCATCTGGGAACCCTGAAGCAGGCCTTCCGGCAAACAGTGTGGGCTTCGGGCCCATCCCCCTGTTGCCGCAAACGGAGGTTGTCTTGGAGTCGCCACACCAACGGATGCTGCAGGGTTTGATGTCACCGCCGTTGCCGGCGCAGGAGCAAGAACCCCATGACCGTGCAATGCAGCTGCAGCTTGCGTCACCGCCACTGTCAGCAACTGGAATGCAGATGACGACCGCACTGCCCCTAGCCGATGGGAACAGACCGGCAGCGGCGCGTATGTCTGCCGCGACCCCAGAGCCTCCTCAGCCGCTTTCTCCGGATCATGCAACAAAGCAGCAGCAGCCACAGAAACCGCATTTGCAGCTGTGCCACGACCAAGAACAGCAGCAACAACAGGAACAAGAGGCGTCTAGGATTGCCCATGTGACAGGGTGTGATAATGCGGCCGCACTGCCCCATGAACACTCTCCACGTGCTCATGAGGGGCTAGATGGGCCTGCCATGCAAGCAGGACTTCGGATGGACCCACGGGTCAGTTGGCTTCGGACTCCAAGCTCGCCGCTTGTGCCGCAGGCATGGTCTCAAGCCATGGGGGGACCCTACCTGTTGGACCTAAGCCTGGATCACAAGCGGCTTCGGGAGAACCAATACTATCACCACTACCAACAGCAGCAGCAGCGGCAGCAGCAATACCAGCAGCAGCAACAGCAGCGGAAGCTGCAACACCAGCAGCAGCGGCAAGGAGAAGGAGATGAGGCCCAGCAGCAGCAGCAGCAGTTGCAGCAGCAGTTGCAGCAGCGCACAAGTCCTCTGGCAGGGGCCCAGCAGGAAAGTGAGCATGCAGAGCAACAGGACAGCATGTGGCGGCAGAGGCAGGGACAGCAACGTGAGCGTTACCTGCATGCTCTGATGCTTGGTGGTCAGCAGCAAGAGGGACAGCAGGAGGGGTCACACCCGCAACAGCACCAACAGCAACAGCGACACCCGCTACACCCCTTGCGTCATGCAAGCCTGCCTCGGCAGCAGCAGGAGCAGGCCCGGCATGATTCTTTCCCGCCAACGCCACGAGACCTTACGTCGCAGCAGCAGCCCTGGCTCATGCAGCAATACCGCTGGCAGCAACACCAGCAGCATCACCTACAGCAGCAGCAACACCTACAGCAGCAGCAACATCTACAGCAGCAGCAGCAGCCGGTCATGTGGCCGCGTTACCCTCAACAACAACACCCACCCCAAGCACATCCAGGTCCCTACTCATGGCCCCCCCTGCGTCATCACCAGCAGCACCAGCAGCACCACCACCACCAGCAGCTGCTGGCTCCACACCAGGAGCTCTGGCTACCAAGACAGCAAGCACACATGCGGCGTTCACCAACCGCGGGAGTCGAGCATGGCAGCAGCTCCTCCGCTCCTGGACCCACACCTTCTGAACTTCTCAACAGGCCCGATGACCCTAGCAGCAGTCCGCGTGCCGACGTCAGCAGCAAGAGTGCAGCGGGAATTGGATCCCCGCCAGGCCGATCCCCCGCAGCACATGCTTGCGTCTTCGCAGCCCCGCTCTCACCCGAGGTACGCCCCTCAGTAACCCCGCAAGCAATCACCCCTCCCAGCAGCGGTGAGGCTGCTCCAGTACCACAAGCTAAGCGACGACGGCTGACTGAGGAGATCGGGGGGGGGAGGGCGGGCGCGGTGCAACCAGGTTGGCAATTGCCCTCGACCGCTACCTATACCACACAACACGCGTTGCCTGGGTACGGAGGAGGGGCTTCACGCACCGTGCCGCTCGCTTCTGTCGCAACTGCGCAAGGGCGGCAAGGTAGGGCGCATGTGCAGCCGCAGAACCACTTGTCGACCCATGGGTCATCACCTCGGCGTCTGGCGGAGGACCTCATCAGGAGGCACACCGGCGGCAGCTACAGTGGAGGATGTAACGGCTGTAGCGACAGTAGCAGCAGAGGCGGCGGTACTACTGCGACGCTTGAAAGCATTGCTGTAAATGCTGCCGCCGCTGCTGCTATTGGTATCTTTGCAGCCCGCCAGCAGCGGGATCAGCAGGCGGCGTCCCCAGGAGGAGCCAAAATGCAGCTCCTTGATTACGACCCGTGGGTCGCTCATCAGCTCATGCAGCAGCACCACCACCAACGGGCCAGCTTACCGCAGCGCCCAGACAGCCATGTTGTTGGATCAGCAGCTCAAAGTGAAGAAGGCAACATCGCCGTTACCTGGCAGCAGCACCAACAACAACAACAGCACCAACAGCAGCAGCAACAACAGCAGCAGTTAGGGTTGCCGAGACCATCGGAGGCGGCTGCCGGCAGACCGGCAGGTGCGGCACAGCAGGGGCGATCGTACATTACCTTTAGCCCGCTACCGCCGTCGGGGGCTGCAGCAGCGGCAACAGCAGCGGCAGCTGATGCTGGGTTGGCCTCGTTGGCACGGGAGGCGGCGGCGGCGGTGGCAAGGCGGAGCCCTGTTGGCCGTACGACCCGGAACAACCTTCCCAGGGGCGGCCCCGCGGGGGCTGCTGGTGCGGGGGCTCCTGCTGTGGATCCGGGTGCGGGTGCGGGTGCGGGGGCTGCCCATGCTGTTGCGTGTGCAATACCCTAACAGGAAGTGAGGGGGCAGGGCATGTCAGAACGTTTCCTGAGTTTTGATTTGGTATATAGCTCATAAGGGTAGGTACGGTCTTCTTGCATTTTGCTGTATGGCTGCCAGCATTTGTGTACTGTTGTAAAAATCTAAATAGGATGTATGTGTTGCCTCATAAAATATCTACCGGTAGCTTCTGCCACCTGTTTGTAATCCGCAGTGCGTATGATGGGCCTACCTGGCATGGTTGAGTACTGGGAACCGCAGGACCGAGTGTCGAGGCTCCCGTGGCTTGTAGAGAAACGTTGTTATCATGCACGGTCTGTTCTGCGAGCTTGCTTCCCCAATTGCTTGTCCACTCCGCTCCGCCGTGTGTGCTCTGTCTGGTTTGAATGTTCATAGACTCGCCGCCTAACTGATCCTCGCAGCAAAAGGCTCGCGAGGTATCTGATTACTTCCGTTTAGAACTACTTACCCTAACTATTTATCTATGCATGGCGTTCGTATTGGTGTGGTTTCATTGGGTTTGCTCTTCCCAGTACGCAGGCTGTAGTTCTGTCTGCAGACCCATGGGTCCGTGAGTGCGTGTAGGTGAGGGCATAATGAGTGTACGTGGCGTAATGTAGATGATGCGTCAACTCCTTTGCATGTTAGAGGGATGTGTACAGTCTACACGCGGGATGTGCACGGTCTGCACATTGTTAGTTGTGACGGTTGGTTTACTTGGCAGGAGGATGGCTCACCAAATGTTGCTGGATCTTTGCTTAGGACTTGAACGTTAAGCTGTACTTGGAAGGGGCGTTACTCGAGAGTAGATAGGGGATGAGCCCCGGCCGGGCTACAATTGTACGGCATGAGCATGCAGTGAAAGTATGTGGCATGAATGATGCCGTACACGCAAGCTTACTGTTACCGCATATAAATTGGGTGGAGCGCTCATAGTGTATAGTGCTTTGGTTTGGCTCGAGCCTGTTTAGTGTTATCATTGCCTCTATTGATTCCATCTGCCCACTACTATGGACAGGTGCCCGCCTAAGGCTCTTGCATGTACCGTAAAATGCAAGCCTTGTTTGGGCATGTGTACAATGATACGGGCAGGCGTCTATTGAACAGGCGAAACGCATTGGCGTGCACCATGGGTTGGTAAGAATCTGCCAGCTTGTCCTTTGTATCTCCTATTTGCCTGATGTGGCATGGGTTGTGCTGTGTTAATGGCATGCTGTACAGTGCTGTATAATATATAATGCAGGATGATTGCAGTTGCCTTGTGTGTTTACCTTGCTCGGGGTTGTGGTTAGTGATAGATCCAAATGTCGACTGCGGCAATCCCTGCCCATGCATGTAGTCAGCATCTAAACATGTACCGTACATCGCTTTAACACTGTTGTAGGAACTGCCAAGCTGTACGTGTGTGTCGAAGGTACTTGGGCGTGGCCTGTTTGGCAAAATTTGACGAGAATGAAAATGCAGGCATTGTAGCAACGCATGCATGTTGATGTCGATAACGCTGCTGTATTAGGATTAAGTCGGCATTGTGAATACCTATTAGGCGTGCTATTATGACGTACTGCGTGTGTTGGCATCCTGTGTATTGCTGGACCTTTATTCATGTAATAGGAATCCATAGCCAGACACGCTTGTATTGACTTCCACTCACGAGAACTAAAGCCTTGTTAATGGCCGGAGCCGCTAGGAGACGGGCCCACTTGAAGGACACGTACGGGTAAGGACCGGAGTCGCGCCGTGCAGGTGGCACCTTTCACCGGGGTGTACGGCCAGGTGGGTACGTGGTGTAATTGGACCAAGCGAAAGCCTGCGGCAATGCGCATTAAACAAGGCGGATCGGTTTTGCGGGGTTCGCCTGGCCTACGATGCATCCCAGTGGCCTCCCCAGGTGCCGTACTACCGTACGTGAACATACCGGTATTATTTGATACCGGTACCTTTTAGTTATCTAAGGAACGAAAAACTATCCGCGGGACATCCTTTAGAGTGTACTGTGACCTTACGGGTAGCCTTCTGTGACCCATTATCCAGAGCGCACGCCTAGCATATGCCGAATATGACAAGCATCGCCATCCGCGCGCCTGGGGCGTCAGTTGTGGCTTCCAAAGCGAGTCGGTCCCGATCTGCGGTTACAAGGTGCAGGCGTAGTCTGTTTTGGGAGCGGTAGTTACGCATGTTTCGAGGAGACTTCACCATTTTTGCCATAATGCAATAATTGAGAATATAATTATTGAAAGCTTCTAATTTAGTAGATAACAGTCGTTGCAGCATGCAAGGTCTTTGACCATTGACGAACCTCATGCTTGCAGGGTTCATGTTGCGCGTCGCAATGTTTCATCGCGCGCGGCAAGCTTGGACAACCTTACGGGCGTCGTGTTCCAGCCACTCAACGAGGTGCGCATATGCGGTGCTTAGCATGCCTCAGGCTTGCCGGCGTGTGCCCGGACGTCTCCGTGCGTGTGGAGAGTCGTGATACCAGTAACTTGCTCCAGGCAGTAGACAGAAGCCACCGCAAACATACATTAACTTGAAAATGTACCGTAAGCCTGCGGTGAACCCACCTTGCAAGCCAGGTGGGGTGGTCTCTTACCGTGTCATGGACCCCATCATCGGGCAAGCATAGCCTCAAGCCACGCCAAGACCAGAGCGCTGGTGTTTCCTAAAGCCCACGGTTCACATCTAACCCACCTGTATTTAACATTATCCCTGGGTCTCCAGATTTACGTTACACTCTGCACTTGTCGCACGCATTGCTTCCTTCCTGCCTACATGTCGCCCATGTCGTCGCTACCTCCCCCTCGCAGCAAGCTAAAGCGGAGCTAGCTATCGTGGACGGCACCAACACAGCTATTGCCAGCCTGGCTCGTGTTGACTTCCACCCGGCTTGCGAGGCAGCGATCAACGAGCAAATCAAGTAGGTGGCCTTCCGCCAGTACACGTATTGCACCTTGTACGACACCTTGCCGTAACTTCCTTGTACGATACTTGACTTTCCACCCTATTTTTCGCTGGTTCCGTTTTAGGATTGGGTTACGTGACACAGGTAGTAAAGGCGGAGCTCTCTCTTATGCGCAGTCCGTAATAACCGTGTGTTGTGCCAGCATCGTCGCACTAGGGTTTGCTTGCAGTGTTGTCCTGCCACCAGCTTACCACAGCTCCTCCACCCTCCCTCTGCCGTACATCGTGTGCCGTATCGTACACTGTACGACAACCACGCAGCATCGAGTACACCGTGTCGTATGTGTATCACGCCCTGTGGGCTTACTTTGACCGGGACAACGTGGCGCTTCCGGGCCTAGCCGCCTTCTTCAAGGCAGGAAGCGATGAGGAGCGGGAGCATGCGGAGCTGCTTATGGTGGGTTGGGAGGTTACGGAGTAGCGGTTTCGGAGTAACGGGCGAGTTCGTGTTTTGGCTATTTTGCTGAATGTTGCTGTACGTGCTGCGTAATCCAATCCGTGGAGACGGGTCCACGGAGCCAGCACCCGCTTCCTCGGAAGAAGATTGCCTGATAGATAGGCTAACAATGTAGCCCCGTCTAAGCGCCGCCGCTCCCCCCGACGGTCGCCCCTGCCTCTCAGGAGTACCAGAACCGCCGCGGCGGCCGTGTGGTGTTGGGCACACTATCCGTGCCTGAACTGGACATTGCGAGCAACGAGAAGGTAACTAACTAACAAGCCAACAACTGTGACTTTGGCAATAGCTGGGCAGATGTTGGGAGCACCAAACGCCTGCGTGAAGGCACAATACAACACTTGGGTCGCGCATTACCGCACACTCAATCCGCGCTAGCCAGCCAGCCCCTACCATAAACCCCCCCCGCTATTTATTCTCAAGCGCCAACCACGTTTAACGGAACAAACATGCACCCCAAAACCTTAACCCATCCAACCAACCCCCCAACCGCTTCCTCCACTGCTGCCGTACGCACCCCACAGGGTGACGCGCTGTACGCCATGGAGCTCGCTCTGAGCCTGGAGAAGCTGAACTTCAGCAAGCTGCGGGCGCTGCAGGCGGTGGCGGATGCGCACGGGGACGCCAGCATGGCGGACTTTGTGGAGGGGGCGCTGCTGGAGGAGCAGGTGGGGTGGATGGGTGTGGTGGTGGGGTGTGTGGTGGTGGGGGGAGGCAGGGTGCAAAAGAAGTAAACCCATGCTGTGAACGACAGTGGCGGCTCTTGATGAAAGCTCTTGGGGCGTGGGATACGGTCCAAGGTTTTTTGGAAGAAGAAAACCCCTAACCCACCCCGCCCCCTGGGACCCTGCGCTACCCCCCCCTGCTGCCGCCCTGCCAGGTGTCGGCTGTCAAGAAGGTGTCCGAGTACGTGAGCCAGCTGCGGCGAGTGGGCCGGGGACTGGGGGTGTACCAGTTCGACAAGGAACTGGGGGCGCAGGTGGCGGCAGCGGCGGCGGCGGGGAAGTAGGGAGGTGGGCGGATAGGCGGCAGGGAAGCAGGAGGCGGGCAGGGAGGAGGGTAAGCGAGGGTAGGACTGCGTGTGTTAACCAAACTGGCTGCGAGTCGCAACATGCTGTTGTTAGGAGATACGAGGTGTGTACGGACGGGAAGGTGATATATATCTGCTGTATCGCGGTATCAGGTGTGCACGGCGTGGTGTGGCAGCGGTGCAGCGAACTGCCGCAGTGCTCGTGAAGGGAGCAAGCGGCGCAGGTGGCAGGCGGCATTGATTGGCATAGGCGGTGACCGGCAAGTGGTACGGCATGTATGTACGGCAGGGAAATGGCGGGCAAGGAAGGCGGGAAGGAAGGTGGACGCAGGCCAGGCGGCCACGGCATTTAGGAGGCAAGCAGATGGGGGCAGTGTACGGCAGGAAACAGCCGAGGTAGTGGTGGTCGGCAACAACGGCGGCTGCAGCGGCGGCTAGTGCAGATCTGAGGTGCTGGGGTTCAAGTAGCGGCGTAACGGGCTACTAAAGGCAGAGGTGGTAAACATGCGACGATTGGTACGTTGAAGGTTGCTGCACCGTCAGAAGGCAGCATGTGAGTGTACTTCGTTTGGGGGTGATACCGTGACCGTCGCGTAGCTTCACACATGAGCTAGTAAGGACTGGCACAAATAGCGCAAAAGACAACGAGCCGACGTACGAGCTTACAACCATAGGCAGGTGGCCAGCATTGGTTCGTCGCTTCCACACAGCTTGTGTGGTTCTCATCATTAGCCGTACACAGCTGGCATATATGGCTACAGCAGCAACGGCGCGTCGTGAAATATGCATGTGTTATATGTACATGGGCCGCTAATCCTGCTTTGGTCGCCCTTCCCATTCCTCCGCCTCATCATCTGTAATTACCGGTATATGCCGACGAGGCGAAAGCGAACAGGCCCCCATGTCGCATGTTGCATGTCACAGCAACGGGCGGGGTCAACGTGTTGAGGCCCTGTCCTCGCCAAGGAGCTGACCTGGCTGACTGTAACATCTGCATTCCATGCATCAGCTCAACAGCTGCACGAACCCCTACACCAACATGCCATCAATCGGCAGCTCAATCTGCAACTATGTACAACCTATCTATCAACATGTCCCACATCCAATTACAGACCTTCCCTCCCTCCTCCCTCTTCTTCCTCCTCCACTCTCTCAACTCGCCTCATCCTCAGCTCCCTTCACCACTGCAACCGCCTCGCCACCTGCTGCCGCCCTCTTCCGCCCCTGCCGCCGCCCCTGCCCCTCCCACCCGCCATCCTCCCCGCCGCTGCCGCCGCCGGCGTCCCCGGCCCCTGCACATCCCCTCCTCCGCCCCCACCAGCCCCCTCCTTCTTCTCACTCCCTCCCCCTCCTCCTGCTCCCCCTCCTCCTGCTCCCCCTCCTCCCCCTCCTGCCTCACCCACAGCCCCACACAGGTCCAGCCGCTCTAACCTCTCCCCACTCGCCGCCAGTCGCCTCACAGCCCCCAGCCGGGCGAACAGCTGCGGACACTCGCCGTTCTCACACAGCAGCGCCCCCGCCGCATGGCCGCCGGAGTGGCAGGTGAGGCAGGTGGCGAGTGCGGAGGCGAGCTGCGTAAAGGCGGTGTTGTCGTCGGCCAGGGTGCGAAGGTGGGTTGCGGGCAGACTGTGCGGGTTAGGTAGGGGGGGCGGGGAGGAATATAAAAGAGTGGGGGGAGGGTGAGGCAATGGGAAGGAGGAGGGCTGGAGGCAAGGGGCGGAGCAAGGGCTGAGAGGTGCCCCGAAGGAGGAGTGGAGGCGGTGACCCGTGGGTCGCTCAAGGTTCGCATACCCACCACATACCTCCTGGGTCAACAATTTTAAACCTATGTGGGTATGTTTTATACCCACCAGAAATCTAGCGAACGAGTTCAGAGTTGCACAACGGTTGCCAACTCCTATCCAGACGATCGATAAGAAGAGGACACGAGAGCAGGGGACACAGGGCGCTGCTACTCACGTGTCTGGCTCCCGCAAGCACGCCCCGCACAGCCCGGGAGCTGAGGCCAAGTCGCCACCACCGCCACCGCAGTCACGGGGCAGCACCTGATTGCACGCGGCAGCGGGGTTGGTTGGGATGTTGGGTTTGCGCTTGGCGGGTTGCTTGGGCTGTGCGTCACAAGGGCGTGCACACACACCACCCTCAGCACCCGCAATACCACCAAACACGGGAGCAACCACAACACCCCTCCGCATGAGGGGTGCTGCACAGCTGCACCCCCACGTTACCTGCTTGCAGCCCAGGCAGCGGGCGGACTGCCGGAAGAACTGCCCCAGACCCGATTGGAGCGAGTGCTTGCCGCCGCTGCCGCTACCACCGCCACTCCTCTGCAGGGGCACAAGGTACCAAGAGGGAAGCTACTGGATCCACACCACAGCATTTGACGGCTCCGGAGGTGGTACCGAAAGGAAAGGCAGCATCTCGCACTGTCGGTGCTGCTCCACACACGCCCCTTCTGCGGCGCGCAAAGGTACGGCCCAAGTACGTCCCTCGGGCAGGGCACGCCGAGGCGCATCGATGAAGGGATGGAGACGAGCAGGAGGCAGCAGCCCTGCCCTACCCTACCTTTCCCGCACTAGGCGGCGAGCGAGGCGTCGTCGACAGGCCGCCACCACCATCGCCGCCACCTCCGCCACCACCCCCTCTGCGGGGCAGGGGACTGCCGGGTCCCGCCACCAAACCCGCACTAGCCACCGCAGTCGCCATGGCAGCTGCCGTACTGCCACCGCTGCCTGCCGCACCGCCGCCGCCGCTGGTCTCCGCTGACACGCTGTCGGGGGCCGCATCCACCCGCACCCTGGTGTGAGGGCCGGTCAGGAGGGCCTGTGTGCATGCATGGGCGCGAGGGAGGGAGGGGAAGGATGGGTGGAGGGAGGGAGGAAGGAAGGAGGGAGGAAGGAAGGAACAGACGGCGGAGGGCGCCAACGACTAGGCGGCAGTGGGCAGTCAGTGCGCCCATACACATGGTACGGCACAAGGTACGGCAAATTTGCACAATACGGACACAATGCGGCATGTTGGCGTTGACACGCTCGCCCTGGACATCGCATGCGACCTAACGGCGTCCCCCCCCATAGTCCCCCACTGGATCCGCACTTGCACCCCTCATACAACGCCCCTAACACCCAAAGCAAGGCCCCCTAGGAGTCCCCCCCAGTAAGGTCCCACATGCAAGGCCTCCCCCACATACACGCAGCGACCCAGTTTCCTCCTCTTTACTACCCACACAGCGGCTCACCTGCAGTGCTGCGGGCGGCAGGCAGGGCGTGAAGAGCTCCTTCAGCGGCGGCTGGATGCAGGAGGCGGGGGCCAGGAGGTGGGAGGGGGGGCGTGGGTATTGGGTAGGAATGGATTGGCAATTTGGCATGTGGGAAGGTTGGGTACCAATGTCGCGGACGCTTTTACAGTTTGAAGGCGGCTGGCGACTGTAATCATTGCAGCACCACGACTCATGTTTCCCTGCCATCCATGCCCCTTGCCGAATGCCCGCTTTGGCCCATTGTCCAGTGCCACGCACCCCAGTCTCACCACACTGGACCCCGCAGGCAGGTTTCTACGCATGCAACCAGGCAACCGTGTCCCCTCGCTGCCTCCCAGTCCACTGCCAGTGCCCTGCATGTTCTCATGTTCGTGTTACCGGTATCGTACAGAGTTTGGTGGCACCCCGGCACGAACCCTCCTCCTTCCCTCCCTCCCGCCCGCACGCACGCGCCCCGTACCATCAGTTTGTTGCGCCAGTAGAGCTCCAGGGCGGGTGCTGCCCCCCGCTGAGCCGCTGCCAGGGGGTCCTCCGCGGCCTCATCCTGGGGGGGGGGGGCAGCGGTAGCGGCAATGGCAGCAGCGGCGGCAACGGCAACAGCAACAGTGTCAGTCACTAGGTGACCAGGTTAGGGACTTGGGGATTCCCCAAGCCGCACGTGAATGGGCGGTGGATGAGGGCAGCGCAGGCCAAGGGGAAAGGAGCAGCAGTACGACTCATCACCTGCACACACCGCCGTAACCCCGCCCCTGTGTTTCCTTCCGCATGTCGCACTTCCCCTTGCCTGCCGGTACTTGTTGCCGGTACATGCAGTCAGTAGGTGCTCCCTTCCCTCCCCTTCCCTACAACACTTCACCGCTCCCTCTTCCCCAAGCCTTCTCCCCGCCCTTTGGAATTTCTTTTTCCCCCCTTTGTGCCGACGCCCGCTCACCCCCCCCCACCACCATGGTGAAGCCTTGTCACGCAGCTCGTCAATTGTCTCGTCCGTGTCCTCTTTCACCCCACCCACCTGCGTCCTTGCCCCCGCCAGCAGCACGTAGCTCAGCCGCTCCCCCAGCACGAAGCGCCGGCCCGGGTCGCGGTGGCTGAGCCGCACCGCCAGCGCGGCATGCGGGCCGCGCACCTCCTCCGGGGGAGGTCCGGAGGCAGCGGCAGCAGCGGCGGCAGCGGTGGAGGAGGAGGTGCCGTTGCCGCCGCCCTCGCCCTCCTCGTCCGCTGCAGAGGTGGGCAAGGTGGAGGATGGGAGAGGATGGCATGGAAGGGATTAGGGGGTGATCGCGCAGCGGTTGCGTTTGGAGAGGGGTTTGTGTTCGCCTTCTCTTCGGGATCTCGTGCACCGGTATTTCGTCATCATTGCTCGCAAAAGCAACACTGAGCCACCGCCCAGTCCGTGCCTCACCGGCTGCCGCTGCCGCCGCTACTTGCTGACCCGTGATGCGCCACAAGCCTGCAGGCAGGAGGAAGGAAGGAGGAAGGAGGAAGGAAGGAAGGGCGGGGTGAGCAGGCAGCAGGGAACATGTCGGACGCTGACCGTCGCATGGTACGTGCCTAGCGTGCCCGCTTCGCCTTCGCCTTCGCACACTCCGCCGCCATGTTGCCACAGTGCTACACACACGCTCCAAAAACACAGACACGCTACCCACCCCTTGTTCCATCCCCGGTGACTTCCCCCCTTCCCCCGGGCCATAGGACTGGGATTCCAGTGCTAAACTTTACTCCCCTTCCACCACCCTTCTCGTCCGCCCCCCTCACCCCCCGTCATGGCCAGCTCCCCCAGCTCCACCCGGCCCCCCAGCAGCCGCCGGATCTGCCCCTCCGCGTACGACAGCGCTGCCGCCACGTCATCGTGCATCAGAATGCGCTGCAGACAACCCTGAGCAAGGAGGAGGAAGGGGAGGGGGATGGAGGGAAGCGAGAGGGTGCGAGTAAGGAAGAAGTGGAAGAGGGACATTACCGGTGGTGGGTATTAGAATGCGTGTCGTACAGGTCTGTGGCTTGAGCGGGATGCACATTGGGCAGGCGAAATGAATAGGGATAGTAGTTTTGACGTCGCCAGCCTAATCGACAGCCCGCAGATCCATCCCATCTGTCCGCTTGTACCTGTATGCATCTTGCAGGTGGGGCCATACCCCGAACACTGGAGAAAGCCTGTTCTCTCTCCCCCTCTCTCACTCGCCTGCAGTACATCGCTGACCAGCGGCGCCGACTGTCGCCACATGCTGCGTACACCCTTGACCAGCAGTGACCCGTGGGTCGGCGGGTCGGCCGCCTCGCGCTCCCCCTCCAGCGCCCTGCCCGCGTACCTGTTGATGACATGCAGCAGCAGCAGCAGGGGTCGTTATTTAAGGGCGCCAAAAAGGCCAAAAGTGAAAAAGGCGCCAAATAGGCCAAAAAGACGTCTAAAGACATGAGTTAAAACGACGCCAAAGGGGCGTACCTGTTGACTTGCAGCAGCAGGAAGGGCGCCATCACTCGCTCGAAACGGAGCTCCATGGGGGGTGGCAGGGAGGCAGTGACCAGGGCGGCGGCCTGGGGGGTGAGGAGAGGGTTGGGAGGGTGGAAAGTTCCGGAAGTATCCGGTTGGGAAATGCTTTTGAAGAAGGTGACGGGAAGGGAAACAACATGTACTAACTAAGATAGCATAGAAGCAACTCGGGGGCGGGGGGTGTTCTGAAGGACCCCCCCTTGCGGTCCTGCCCACGACGTCCCTCCTGCCTACAACCCTGCACGCCTGCCCTGCCTGCGCCTCTCCCAACCCCCTACCTCCCCTTTAATTTTCAGCCCCTACCGAACACCGCATAACGCATTACACACATGATACATCCTTTCAATCGGCGGCCGTACCGGTACCCTTCCCTCACCGAACCTCCCACCCCACCCCTACCTGCTTCCCCAGCCGAACCGCCTCCAGCGGACTAGCGCGCGGGAAGTGCACGAACACGCTGTCCGTCTGCGCGTAGATCACCCGACCGCCCGCAGCAGCACACCCCAGCGACAGCGGCTCGCTGCCGGCAGGCGCCTTGACCTCCTTGCCCTCCTCCGCCTCCTTCTCCGTCCCCTGCTCTCCCTCTCCCACTTCCCCTTCCCGGCGGCTCTCCGCACCTCCCTCGCCGCTCCCTCCCGCCCCTGTCCCTGTCCCTGTCGCCGCCCCCGTCACGCCTGCCGCCTCCGCCGCCCGGGTGGCCCCCGCGAGCACCGCCGTGATGGCTGCGATGGCTGCCCGACACGCAGCTGCCCCCAGCGCCAGGCAGCTGTCCGCCAGGGGGACACACTGCAGCGGGGAGGCGCCCGCGCCTGGGGGGTGGGGGTAATATGGATGAAGATTCCGCATTAAGCTGGATTTTAGGAGTGGGGTGGGGGCGGAGAGGGGTTAAATGACAGGGGGCGGTGAGGGGGCGGGAGGGAATGGAAGGAAGGAGGGCGAGGAGTGGTGTGCGAGGGTTGCAGGAGGGGTGCGGGCAGGTGTGCAGAGGTGGGGGCCGGTGGGGGCTATCCTTAGTTAGTTGGTGTATGCGAACTGAGGTGGCGTGAGGAACCTGATGGGATGGCATGTGTGTGTGTTAAGAAAACTGGCCGCAACACAGGTGTGTGGGGGGGTACTGCCACGTCAGTTGCGTTACCCGATTGGTAGCACGTGCCGACAGGTAAGACGGTCACCGAGTTAGAGAACGTTATTTGCCTCAATTAACATTGTCATCGTGCAATAACCAGATCTGTCGTACCCGTAAAGCCGTACAGCGCATTCGCCGTCAGCTTCAACGCCTTCTGACGAGACTCGAGTACGGCAGCCGTCGCCGCCGCCGCCGCCGCTGCCGCACCACCGCCACTCGCATTCGCCGTCGCCGCCGTCGCGTATTTCAACGCCGCTCGTGTCGCTGTCCTCGCCGTCATGAGTGCCGCTAAGATTGTGGGTAAGATCCCTTGTCTTACTTCTTGTCGTACGAACGCGTGACCCGTGGGTGTGAAGCCGCAGCGCTCGCGACCAACGAGCGTTACGTCGTCTGGGTGCACGAGTGTGGAGTAGCACAGGTTGTGGGCGCGGTAGAGCGAGGGGTAGAGCGAGGCGAAGTCCAGGGTGGCGACTGGCGTGCGATACAGGCCTGTGCAAGGAGGGTGAGGCCGAGATGGCGGAGGAGGGCCAGGTAAGGTAAGCTTTTCACGGTATCTGGTTATAACGCACACCTACCTGTCTGCCACGTACCGCTACGTACACACTGCTACACGCGAATCTGGTCAAAAGTCACTTGCGTGGATCCGTTTTTGACACGCTCTCCGTGCTCACTTTGTTCCTTGCTCAGCTCTCATCCCTACCGTGTCTCTCATCGTGCACTTGCCTACACTTGCCGTACATCCGTACATATACACACCTGCCGTACGGTTCTCAATGGGGTGCATGAGGAAGGGGCTCTCAATCAGGTTGCCCGCCTCTTGCCGTCCACCTATGATGTAGCTGAGGGCGCAGGGGCAGGCAGCGGGGGCATGTGCATGTGGGGCGTATCAGGGTGGGTGCAGGCGGAGGTGGACACTACAACACATCCATTCCACATTGACGAAAACAGCCGAGTGGTTGTTCGTGATGGGAGGTTGTTGTAAGTGGGAAGTTTTCATGGGACGTTTCTTCATGGGAGGAATGCTGCCGGCTGCAGGCACTAGGTTAGCGCTGGCTGAGTGGATAACTGTAAGTGTGATTCCCACGAAAAGAAACCTCTGGTGGCAAACCCGACCCTACACTGTCGATTGGCTTGGTTTGGGAGGGGTTGGAAGGTTGTGGGCTAAAGCATGGCCTGTGGTCTTCCGCTACACGTAGGGCAGGCTGCTAGGAGCGAGGCAGTGAGGGCTGAGGGGCAGGGTTGCACGAACGAGCATGCCGGTAGGGAATTGGGGATGCAGATGCGGGTGATGCTGGTTAGATGTGAAGGGGGAGCAGCTTTGCGGCATTCGATCCTTTGCAAGCACGAGGAAGGATGATTCGCACGTGGAAAGAGTGAAGGGGTGTGTTCAGTTTGTTGTACGAAGCAGAAAGGAGCGGATAGGGTAGGGGGCTGTCTCTAATGAAGGAACAGGCAGGTGATCAGAATTGCGACACATCGCCTTCCTTTGCGCACTTGATGGGTTGTTTGGTCTGTTTGGCGCAGTATGCGTGGCGTTCATTACCGCCATTGAGACACGTCCCCGACTGTTGCCATAAGGCGGACGCCTTCCGATCCTTTCGGCTTTTATATTATCCTTGTGCCCAGCCAAAAGTTTAGCGTTAGCTATATGGCAGTTGCATGCGGCATGCATGGCACTTTACTTCCATCCATGGGTGGAGGAAGCGCTGCGCAAACTTGGTACGCGCAGAAGGCCTCAGGACCATCGCATTAGACCATAATGTTAATGGCTCAGTTCTCATTTATATCGAACACGAGCAAAACGAGGTATGACCAGCGGATAATCCGGATATTATGGAAGATATTCCTACTTGCTTAACCTTTTCTGCATAAACATAGATTAATGTTTCCCAATCACAAAGCCTTATGCATTACGGCCTTGTTGGACTGCGCCCGCGCTTATCTCAACACTTTGATTTCGTACGGCAGATAGCGGTGATATGACCCGTCACAATAAGTTTTGAGGATATCCAAAAAGAGCATAAAAAGGCAAACAGCATGGTCTAGGCATCATGGACAAAGAAGCAACGTTTGGCAAGATACGCTTCGAGATACGATAGGATATTTTGGATACGAGCGGATGCGACGCTATCTTGTAGCGAAGCCCGATCATGATTATTAGAGATGTTCCTAGTAATCGCACATAATGCCCTTTTTCCATACCCATGAAGGCATTGCCCTTGTCCACCTGCCCTTCGCTTACTTTTGTCGGTGTGCGTTGCGGTGGAGCAAGCTCCAAGTCCTTATCATCTGGGCGTTGTACATAACCTGTCACACCACACGAAACACAACTCGTAAAGCATGATACTCAAGGCACCGCTCTGTCCCGCAATCCTTCTCGACACCCATTGCAGGCTTCGCAAGGGGCCGTCTTCCTTCCCACACAAACCCCAAATGCATTTCCTTACTTCGATCCTTCCAGAATTCCTCCTCCGGACGCTTCCTCTCCTCCCCTCTCTGACTTTGTCCCTTAGCGTCGTCACTATATTTAACGATCGACGTTCCTTCTTTTTCCCTTTCACCTGGGGGTTTCCCCCACCGCGCCCCACCTGCGGCAGCGTCAGCCCCGTCACGCGAGCCATCTCCAGCGCCTCAGGCAGCGTCGCCAGCCGATTCGTCAGCCGTACAACCACATCCACGCGCCGCAAAATGTACGACGCAATACGTGCTGCCGCTGACGCCGCCGCGTCATGCTGCTGCTGCTGCTGCTGCTGTTGCTGCTGCTGGCCTCCGGCCGCACTGCTGGTGGGGGTGATGGTGGTTGCTGCGACGGTTACAGCTGCAGTTGTGGTTCCGGCAGACAGCGGCAGCCTGCCCTGCGCCTCCGCCCAGAGCCTGGCGAGGTGGAAGGGTCCAATCACCTCGAGCGTGCGGCCCAGCAGCGACTGCGGGAGTTAGGCGGGGTGGTGGTTTTTCTGAAGCAGCATCACGCCAATGCTGCGGTAGGTGCAGGGAAACGACAGGCCGTCACTCGCTCAACAGCTGCTCATCACCCTCGCCCACCTTGCCAAACATCCACTCCCACTACTGCATGATACCCTGTTCTTCTTTTCCCTCACACTACTGCCCCGCCCCCCCCCCCCCCTGCAGCCCCGCCCCCCTGCATCCCACCTGGCAGCAGTCCACCAGCGTGAAGGTGGCCAGCGACTGCCCCGTCAGCACCTGACGCAGCACATCCAGCACCACACGGCCCTTGATGTCGGCGCGGAACGTCTCCTGCAGTCCCAGCAGTCCCAGCAGGCAGGCAGGCAGGCAGGCAGGCAGGCAGGCAGCAGTACCGGTCTCATGCATGTACGGCATGCATGGATGCATATAGCACAGGACAGCATGAAACACCCGCCGCGCTTAATTGCAATAACACACACGCACACACACCTGGTTTCCTTAACACACCTGGTTGCTGGTGGACGCCATCCTGCTCTGGCTGCGCACCCACGCGGCACTGTACATCACCACACTCTTGACGGTCATGGGGGCAGCCCCCGCAGCAGAAGCGGCTGCCGCACCGCCGCCCCCGCCGGGGCCGCTGCTGCTGCTGCCGGTAGCCGCCGCAGCAGCAGTAGTGGCGGGGCCCAGACGTGACACCAGCAGACCTCCGCCCTCCAGCCGTAGCCTCTCGAAGCGATCTCGCAGCGCCCCGAGCGTGTCGCGGACCTTTAGGAGGGTATTGACGAGAGTTTGGCGATGGTTTAGTGGCTTAGCACCGGGCAATGCGCCTTGTCAGCCCGAAACACGTGGGGTACACAGGCCTTGCAAGGACAACATGAACCGAGCCCTGGTTAATGCTATATATACTTCTTCCGATGCCGCCCCTCTCCATCCGCATGCCCCAACTGCTAGCCTTGCACCGCTCACCTGGAAGGTGGTGATGATGTCCGGGTCCGTGAGCAGCAACCACTCCTTGCAGTCCTGTGGTCATCGAGATTAGCAGGACCATTAACGGTAGCAGCACATGGGAGCATTAGGCGGAGCAGGATCAAGCACAGCGGAACCGCTGCGAAGGAGCTGACCCACGGGTCACTTTGACTCTACAACGCGCGCTGACGCACCGCCCGCCACTTACCAGCAGCATATCCGCTTCACTTGCAAAGCAGCGCAGCTCCGCGCCTTCCATGCTCGCTGGCGAGGGTGGTGGCGACCCATGGGTCTGAAAGGAGTTACCTGTGGGGCGCATGATGAACCCCAAAGTCCCGTTTGTCCGTGGAACAAGCGGCGCAAGAGAATTTTGGCGCATACGGCGCCGCCTGGAATTGCCAATCATAACACAGACACGGTTTCCTTCCAAAAGTGTAGTACTCTTATACTCCATGTGCCGCCGCTAATACCACGCGGACAGGCACCTGTAACCATGAAGACCACACGCGTCGGTTGACCTCCGGTGCGTCCATGCGGCGTTACGTCGGCAGCAGCCGCCGCCGCCGCCGTCGCCGGTGTGCCGTACGTCCGCACATCGCACCCAATGCAGATCACGGGATCATCCTTCGCGGCAACCGGTGTACGGTTCGTCATATCGCAGGGCGCCGCAAGAACATCAACCGTTACAACCGTCAATGGCGCAATGCGACCGTCCCGAGCCGCGAGAACTGCCGCCGCCAGCCGCGGCGTCAGTCGCGGCCGCGACCCCTCCTCCGCTGACATCGGATCACCGTTGCCGGCATCGCCAGCCGCGGCGGCTTGGCTGCAGTCGCTGTCGGCGGCGGCTTGCCGAACAACCTCGGGGCACCAGTCGGGATCCGCCAACTGAGTGGCATCGGGCGTGAGGGATTGCAGGGACCGCCAGGGTGCTACCACCTGAGGCGGGGGAGATGACACGGGCAATGGAGTGGACAGACGAGTGAATCCTGGTAAGCATTGAGCTTTGGGATGGTGCGGGGTATAACGATGGATAATGAAATGAGGATGGGGCGTGCAGGATCCTCCGTTCTTCTCCGTCCTTCCCTTCCCGGCCCTAGAACCTACCTCCATGTCACATGTGGAAAGGCGGGATGACGAGGCCACCGCCACGTACCCCTGAGCCGGCACTGCTGCTGCTGCTGCTGCCTCCACCGCTGCCTCGACTGATGCTGCTCCTGCCGCCGCGCCACCAGCAGGCGGCAGGTAGAGCCAGGCGCCCCCCGACAGCCCCGTGTCACACAAGAAGCGCATCAGCAGCTTCACCTGCACAGGCGCAGCAGCAGCAGCAGCAACACAAGCACGCAGCTGAAGCAAGCGCTCTCCTACCAAACACTGAGCACACCTCAAGAGACAACAGGGCGCCGGCACTCCCCCAACCCGCCTACCTCTCATCCAAGACTGAAAGCAGGCACCGACAGCACTCCAAACTATGCGGGCGCAGCTGCAAGCTCCGCTCCGCTCCGCCCCGCCCCGCCGCCACCTTACCCTTCTCGCGTCCCGACCCATGGGCCCTTTCTTATCCCTTCTACGAACCGTACGACTGACCTCCGCCTCGTACACGCTCTTATCCAAAAAGCGCATCCCCAGCTGCCTCTCCAGCGCCGCCCCCTCCCGCCCGCCCAGCAGCGCCGCCACCCGGCTGCCGGCGCGCTTGGAGGCGGCCCCCGGTCGCAGCAGCAGGCGCAGGTGGGGGGAGCCGGCGGGGGCGGCGGGGCGGTAGTACATGATGGGGCGGGCGGTGAGGGGGCTGATGGAGAGGATGCGGCTCTCGGAGGGAAGCCTGGGAGGAGGGAAGGGTTGGGGTGAGGAGGGGTAGCAGGTGCTGAAGTCGGCATAAGCTGTGGTACTTTGCGGCCCGCATGCTCCTGTGCTGCTGCTGCCCACCTGCTGTTTAGATAGCAGCGGAGGGACTCCAGCTCAGGGGGGGACCAGTCACCGGAGGCAGCAGCGGCAGCGGCGGCGGCGGGGGTGCCAGAGGGGCTGCCCTCAACGGCGGCGCCGCTGCCGTCGCCGGCACCGTCGCTGCCGGCACTGGGGGTGCTTCGTTGGGGAGACGGGACGTATATGTAGGGGCAGTAGTCATGCACCTGAGAGGAATCGGAGGGCCGGGCGGGTTTTTAGTGGTTCGATGGTCGGGTGGCAAGCGGGGCGAGAGATGCGAAAGTGAAGTGAACGGAGATATTGGGTTGCTGTCTTGGTACCGGAATAGAGAAAGGTCCGAACAGAACAATAATGTGGGCTCGTTGCTTGAGTGTTTGAAGATTTATGAAGCCTAGAGTTGTTATAGCAACTTGCAGATTACCGGACGCAACCTTAACGCAGCTTTGGTCAAGTCGGCGACCACATGTCCCGTGGGCCATGTTGGTAATGCAACTCGTTGCTGCACCCATAACGACCGCAACGCGTAAAACGTACCTGAACCATCACAGTGTCACCATTAGACGTTCGTCCCCATACATGGAAGCTACCGGCAGGACCTTCGTCCACGTCTAGGACCATTATGACGATTGCTTCAGCGTTTTGGGGCCATCCTCTAGGGACACTAGACGCAGATACATGCCCAGCATTGTTTCCACCTATGGGGGAGCTGTGAGGCTCTCCGCAACACTCCCGACGCGCGCGTTTTGCAAGTCTTTCCATACTTGGACCCAATCTGTCGTTTAATTTCACAGCGATTGATTATCAGTCTGTTTCTAAATGGTACATGCTGATATGTTGCGTGGTGATTGCTTTGTCAGTTGCCGATTCCACTTAACCCCTTGCAGACGCAAAATCGACGAGACAATACAGTACCTTAACGACAAGAAGCACGGGATTGTACACGCATTTGTAACCGCGCGCAAGAGGAGCGTTTGATGGCTTCGTACAGGCCTGTACGGCATCATATCAGTATGATGTGAGGATCCGCAGACTCAAGCAACACCGATAAGAAAATTTTATGACACACAGTTTAGCCCACAGGCTGTGGGCTGATCCTCATGATGTCTCCTTCTACCGCCTTTCTAGCTTCGCCCTCAATGCCAGCCGACAGGGACCGCTCGGCGGCCTCAATCCTTTTATCATTGTCTAACGACGAAGTGGTACAGCAAGATGTCGACACATCGGATGACCAACATAACTCTAGTGATTTTGCCAACGCCAGTCGGAAGGGTATGTTATGGCGCGAGGGTTTCCTTACGTAGACCAAGCTTAGTTTCTCACAAGAAGTAAGTGATAATATGGTGTATCCAATTATGCAGGCCAGCCTTGGACGGAGGAGGAGCACCTGGCGTTTCTTCAGGGACTCCGCAAGCTCGGGAAGGGCAATTGGCGTCAAATTGCCAAGTCCTTTGTGCCTTCACGCACACCAACGCAAGTAGCCAGCCACGCTCAGAAGCATTTTATGCGCGTCGCTGGCATCACCAAACGCAAGAGCCGCTTTACGAAGCTGGAGGTTTCAGAGGTGCGCGCCTTGGGGTCGCCTGCGGGCTTGCAGCCTGTAAATAATGCGTTTAATGGGTCTGATGTCTTGCCAATTAAGGAAGTGCTTAGCTTCTTCTGGGATCCTGAGTAAGTCAACGTGTTGCACTTTATCTCGGTCTCCGATAGTCCCAGGATATTATTTGGTGGATATCTACTACTCGAGATTTTGTGCCCCCACTTTACATCCTATAACAACGCTTTATATCCTTAATCAATACACGATTGCTAACTCATTTCCTAGCTGCTTTTCATGCACGCTCTCACTGACATGCTTTCTTTCCTGCCTTTTCCTTCAGGTCGTGGCGGCTGGCATCTCATCACAGCCTGAGACATCAGAGCATGTTGCCGAAGACTCGCAGCAGGTTCCTGAGCAGCAGCCTGCGTCGGCTGCCCCGCCGGCCATGCAGGTGCCCTTTCCAACCATGCCGTTCCCGTTCATGAATCCAATGATGTTTGGCTTTCCGGGGCCATTCTTTCCTCCATTCATGTGCCCGCCACCGGCTTTCGCCGCGCAGTTGCTGAGCGCCATGCAGAAACAAGGTAAGCTACAAGAGGGCTGTCTGCGGTACGTCTGCGAGACATATTTTAGAGTGTATCAAAGCCGTGAGTTATGGATGCAGCACAAGCTGGTTTGCTATATCTGGTTATGCTCCAGTGTAACATCGCTTAGCTGTAGATATCGTTGTAATTACGCTTGACGCAACCCATGATTGCTGCCACAGGTCCTCCCCCTATGATGATACCGCCAATGTTCCCGATGGCCGCTATGGCGACAATGAACCCTTTCTTCATGGCGCCGCACATGGCGGCCGCGGCGCAGATGGCAGCCACCGCGAACGCCGGGGCAGCAGCCCAGGCCGCCACCAGCGGGGGCGTGACCACGGCGGGGACGGGCGCAGCAGCAACATCGGACACAGCGAACTCGGACGAGGTTGCGCGCCGGTCGAACTCGACGCCGAGCAGCCCAGCAATGTGCAAGCCTGAGGCCCACCACGCGCGGCCTTGCGCGCCCGCGCCCGCGCCCCCTGCGTCCGCACCTACGCAAGCAGGGTCTGCGTCAGATGGATCGGGTGCGACCTCGGCGAAGGAGCCGCGAGGCGGCAGCGTTAACGGCGGTTTCCAGCAGCCGCCACAGCAGCGGCCGTCGGGCTTTCCTGTGTCAGGGCTTCCGCTCGGCGAGGGGCTAACGGGCTTCCAGGCATCCGCGCATTCGGCGTTCCGACCGCCTCAGGTGGGCGATCTGGTTGCTTGCGTTGTTCTAGACGGTCTAGATGGCTAAATTTCTGCCGTTGGTTGAACGTGTGCACTCATCTAGGGTAGTGCATGGGCCTCACGCAAGCTAGTTTCCGGGAACGGCTTGCTTACGATTGGCCATCGGTCGAAATGTTGCTGCGGTTGTATGCGTCGTGGTTGTAACGTTGGGGTTTTCAACTCCCTTCTTGCTTTTGCCGATTGCAGGATGTCAAGGCGGAGTGTTGAGGGGCTCTGTGGGTGCCGGTGCCATGTGCCTCGTACGAGGTACTATCGCGCCTCGCCAGGGTCTTGGTTACCCGTACTGTCGTACCTCACCACCTGCGTCATCCGCCTGCGTTTCGCCGAATCCTAGTGCGCAGCAATCCTACCGCCTGGCGCTTTGCTTAAATTCATGTTGATGGCTCGACATATAACACACAAACAGCGGCGTAGCAGCGCTCGACGGTCGTCGCGTCATGGCGGCGTCCGACGGCCCATATTGCGCCGTTTCTCGCTCGCTTGGAGAGCCTTGGGTCGTCGATAATAAGCCTTCTGTTCATTCCATTTACGGAGGTGCCTATGCTGCTGCACGGGTGATTGCGTCCTATAAAAGTACGCGCTTTTGTACCGGAGGGCCCCCTGCGTTTCTCATGGGGGCGTGTGGGATTCTGGAGCCTGGCAACTGCAGTGCAGCCGCGGCATTGATGACTGTACCTGCCCGTCGTCGCGTTGTTGCCTTTGCTAGCTAGCATGGCGAGTAATCAGTTGCGCCGCACGCTTTGCGCTGCTACTGTCGTTACCACGTTAACTGCAGACCTGGAGATTACCACACCAGACGACCAGCACATGACAACCGTTCGTACATGTCTTGGGAATGGCGATGTATCTTTGCCGGTTGTGGGGGCAACTTGGAAGGATGAGTCCCGCTTGCTCTTTGCGGGTTGAGTGGCGTCGTGATGCTACATGCAGCAGTCTTTCGTACTTGGATCAGTGCTTCTTGCGCCGGAAATGCCTTGGTCATTACGCAGCGTGTACGGGGCAGCAAGCTTCATTGTTCTGCTGGTCGATTGAGGATCATGTCATTGTCGCTTTTCATAGTATTCAAGCGTCTTCTAAACCCGACATTGACTTTGTGATGTTGACGGTGCGCTGACGGTGTGCAGCGTAGGGATATAAGGTTGACCAAGCCATTGCTTCTTGTACCATAGCGACGATTTGGGTCGGTTCTGAACGCGGGTAGCGGCTGCGGGAGCGATGGCAAGCGGTCAGCGGGCGCTGCCCGTGCGCGCGTCAGGGCTGATGTCCATTGGTTTCGAAGGGACGGCACTTGTGCTGGCAGCACACAGTTCCGACTCCGCGCGTTGACCCCGCTTGCCAGTGCTCCCTGACATCCGCTCTTTCAATGGCCGACGCTGCTGCTGCTGTCGCTGCCAAGTTTGCAGCGACATGTCTCAGGATGTCGAGGGTACTTCAAGTAGGGGGTACATGATGTCGGGTGGGTGGGGGATAGGGCTTGGTTTACCCCTTGTGGCTTGTGCTGTGGTGGATGTGTTGGCTGTGCTGCAATTGCTGTTTGGAAGTCTAGAACTTGGCCGTACAGTTGTACGGCTTAGGAACTCATCTTAAGAAGTGGGGAGGTTTTATACGCTTTTTCCACATGAACTAAAAGTAGGAACAAGGATGGGTAGTATCCTGGGTATTGTTTTTGCTTCCAGGCATTCCCTGAGATTTTGTGGTATTGCTGCGATGCTGTTGGGGCCCGCAGCTACTCTTGTTTTGCCGTGCATTGCGTGGCGCTTAGCGCGTGGGCGGCGATGTGGGTGCTGACAGGATCTTGCTGTCTTTCGTTGCGGCGGGCGATGGGTGTTTCAGATGATCGGCTGCTCCTGCATCTGATATTCTTCAGCAGGTTCGTTCGTTGTAGGTTTGCCGCGTGCTGTAGGCGGCGGCGAAGGTGCGTCGAATGGCACGCGTTATTGCGTTCAGAAGGAGTCAACAGGACATGCATGCCTTACGTGACGATAAACATTGGGCAGCAATACGGACTCATAACAATACCGTACGGCAACGTTTGCCGTACACTTAGCAGTAGATATTTTGTGAGCGTTCATTAGTTTTGGGTGGCGGCGAGATTTCGAGATCTGACAAGGAACCTACAATTTGGCAACACTCAATGCAGTAATTGGTGCTGGTGACGTAAAGTGTTGATTGGTCAATTGTTTTTGTTTTGGCCCCATCGCCGGCATTGTTTCGTTCTTAGCGGCGACGTACAACATTCTTGGGGTTTGTGTGAGGCGGTGTGATGGGACAACGTCGAGGATATAAGTCCCCTGGCAACACTTATCTCTTGCCGGTTAGCCGGGAAATTGGCGGCTAATGGTCTGTCCTGTTGGTCCCCCCCATGGTTTTGTTTTGATGGTCTTGGTCACCTGGTTGATATGCATTGTGGTTGTGATGTGTCGGGGTGTTTAAGAAGAGGTAATGCCGACTCTATACCGCCATGCAGGCTTCAAGCCTCCTTTCGACTTGACTAACCTAGCGGCGCGTGTATTGGGGAGTGCGGTGTGGTGGAGTTGAAGCTAACCGGGAGGTTTCCTTTGGCAGGAGCATGGTAGGCGCATGTGCGACGGTGCACAGCAGACGAGCATTGGTGCGGCTTGGCATGGCGCCGTAATGTGGAGGGCTTGTCTCATGCAGATTCAATGGCGGCAGCCGCCAACGCGCTTCTTTCTGTCATCACCGATAGTTGAGGTTGCATGCTTGGGCGTGTTAACCGCATTGTTTGGTTCAGTGGTCAACGGCAACTGCAGCGACTGTCCTTTGGGGCTGTGCTGTCCCGTTTGCTGACGGGATGTTCGGTTAGGGACAGTTATAATGATGCAGGGCGAAGACCAGTGGGCGGTAATCTCTAGTCTGTGTGTTTGGCGCATTACATGTTGGTCGGTATACCTCTTGTAGAGTTCTATGATGGTTGTCTTCGGCGCCGTGTGTTGTTTTAAGGACGGCCGAGCGGATGTCTTCACAACACCGCACGCATGCCCTAGTACGGCAATAGCGACGTGCGGAGTGTACGGGTTGCGCAGTTCTGGCTTATGGTTTGGATCCCGCTGTTCCACCTGGGCTATCTGTCGTACACCTTGCCGTGTGTGTGTCCCCTCGGAACGCCCAGTCATATGGTGCATTTTGTTCGGTGGTAAAATTTCACTTCTTTCGTGGTGGTTTGGTGCTATGGTCGCAGTAGCAGGGAAGCTCGTATAGCAACCGCAGCAGCAAGGACTATACAATATGCGCTGCTATTAACAGCACTTTGGCGAAGAACCCTGTTCTGGTTGTTTGGAGTTAGGAAGTCTTTGCGCATTGCCGGCGGTAACATCTGTGATGGTGGTGGTTGCTTAATAATTGCAGCATGGCTCCGGTGCCATGCAGAGTGGCCGAGCGCGGGTTATGAGGCCTGTAGTCATGCAACGTTGCACGATTGGTGCTGCTGCTTGTACCGGCTGCCCGAGTCTGAGGCTTAGCGTTGCATCGGCTAGTCCTTGCTGTTGAAATTGCCGAACATTCACGACTGTGGAATGTCTTGCAGAGTTACAGTGGACGCATTAGTGGACGCATTGAGTTATGTATGTTGCATTAGTATGTTACGTATCGTTGGTAGGTGGAGGTTGAGTTTGCATGAAAGCCAACATTAAGCTCAACAGAGCTACGGTAATCGGACTGGGCTGGTTGTGTGCAGTAGCATGCTGCGGGAATGCTTGAAGGCAGGCAGTCGAACCCATTCACGCCGTTCCCGGCCTTCGTATGGGGTTTAACAACTGTAAGGAAAGTAATGCACTTGCAGCGTCCTCGGCGGGTAAGAGCACATGCACTGATCGGAACTTGTCCAGTCGCACGGCACATTGGATGGGCATGTTCCCTGTGCGCTGCTCTACCGCATACACATGAGATTTAGTAGATCTGGTTGGACAGTGCTTTGGCTTCGGGCCAAAGACGCACATAGCTTCCCTGCAACGGTTATACAGCTCGTTATGGCACGGTGGGTCTCCCTGCCGCCATCATTTCTTGTTAACCAGGCTTGCAGAGCATTGTCCCCTCGCAGTGAAGAGCATCCCCTGACCTGGTTAATAAGTGTAAGCATGATTGCATGAACCTCCCGACCGTACAGTAAACAGCAGTGAGTGAGGGCCTTATACTTACCTTGTGAAGTCGCCAAAGCAATCGCACGCTAGCGCAAGCCTCACAGCAACACCGGTAAGTATGGCTGCGGTTCTATGGTAGCAACCGATTGGTCCCATAGTTACCGGTATAGTGTTTGCGATTGCTCCCAGAAACGCAACCCTCAATCTTAGGTGTGAAGCATGTGACTACATGCGTACAATGTCAAACTAAATGTTTAACAGTTTACTTGCTGAGCTTTCACACTTTCCATTTTGGGTACGGAGACAGCTCCCACGTGATTCGCTTCTGAACTAATTCCAAGCACAGCCTTTTACCTTACATACTATGTACCATAACTATTATTTAGCGGTGCCTCCTTAGTCCTCTCAAACCTTGCAAGGCTGCCTTTCTTACTTGATGGCGACCTATCTCGGCATGGCATGTATGTTAAAGAAGTTTTAAGGCTTAATGATTATCTTGCATATCGTTGTCTTAGGGCAAATAATAGCGCTGACGTCGACTATCATCCGATCCTTCCCAGCCTTGCTAAGGCTGGCGCACGTCAACAACCAGGGCAGGCTCTTAGCTGCCCAAGGCTGACGCTATGGTTGCTGCTGGTGCTGATTCTGACAAAGACGAGAGAACACCATTTGTCGGCCATGCGAAACCAAACGATAGTTCCGGCTCTTGGCTGCGTGCTCTGGTGGCGTTGGTGGCCTCAATTGCATGGATGGTAGTATCATCGGCGCTTATTATGCTTAACAAGTAGGTTTTATTTGTATACCTTCCCACGGCTGTGGGCATGGTCTGCTGTGCATTTTTTGGAATTCGTTGGCAAGTTCCCCTTTGTTGCTACCATGCGAACAGGTACATCATGGTCGACCTCGGGTTTAGATACCCTATGGCGATAACGAGCATGGGCATGGGTATGAGCGCCTTCCTAGCCTTCGTATGCTGCCGGGTCCTGAAGCTGGTGGCTGTCCATGACAACATAGAGCTGCGGTTCTGGCTTGCTAAGCTATTACCCATAGGGTAAGCTCGACAAGCCCATTCCCGTTACGGAAGACAGCGATACCCAGCAGGTTGCAATCCGTAGGGGCTTGTGGGCACGCGTGGTAAATCTCTTGCCTCGGTTTAGGCCCTCAGTACCACCCCTACCATCTGCAGCACACGACCTCCGCTGGTACTTTTCTCCGCTTTTTCAAAAGAGGGGCTCCCTTCGACTTCGACTTCGACTTCGCTTGCCACATCACCTTACAGGCGTGTTTTTTCTATCCTTTGCCCTTCCATGTAGGCTTCTGATGGCTTTGACGCTTTGGACGGGCAACGAGGTCTACTTGCACCTCACAGTCGCCTTCATCCAGGTGCGCAGCGCCTCCAGCACGTGGTTCATTGTTGCTAGCTGACCTTCCAGGAGATGCTTGGGGGCTGCGGACGGGGCTACAGACCTGCCGCCGTAGGGCTAAGACCCACATGGCGGGTGCATAGGGTTGGATCGCTGGTGTTGCTCCATCAGCAGATCCTTCATGACGGTGTTCCCAGCCGTACAGCTTGCCCCGCCGTGCCTTACTCCTCTCAAGGATGCATACCAGCATGCTAGCGTGCATGGTGTATGGACATGCTTGCGCTGGTGGGGTTGTTCTTTGCGAATCCTCCGCGATCCCTATTCGTGTACCTACGAAGGGCTTGGCATGTTGAGACACGCATGGTCCCCGGCCCTCCTCTCATGCGCGCCCCAGATGCTGAAGGCCTTCACGCCAGTCATCACGATGATCTGCCTCATAACGGCCAAGCTGGAGTACCCGACACGGGCCATGGTAGCATCCGTACTCCTAACCGCCCTGGGTACGGCAACAGCAGCGTACGGCGAAGTACGGATGAACATCGTGGGGATCCTGCTCATGTTTGCTTCTGAGGCGGCGGAGTCTGTCCGGCTCGTCATGACGCAGTTCCTCTTGGTCGGGCTGAACTTCCACCCGATTGAGGGACTTATGTACCTAGCAGCCGCGTGCTGCCTGTGGCTCATGTCGGGTTGCATGGTGCTGGAGGTGCCGAAGATGATGGCGGAGGGAGCGCTCAAGGTGGTGTTTGCGAACCCCTGGTCCTTCTTCTGTGCGTCCATGATGGGTTTCACCGTGAACTTGCTGGCGTACTTTACGATCAAGGTGCGTGGGAATGGCTGCATGCAAACATGCATGGCATGCCACACAAGCCTGCACTCGTACGTGGGGACGTTTTAGCGTGCGGTGTTGCTGCCGCTCGCTCGAAGGTCTGCATGCGATCTGCGGGTCAACCGAGAGCGGCTCCTGCCCGCCACCGAACCGGCTTTTGCAGGGCGCATGCATGCGCATGCATTCCACCCTAGGTTGCTCTACCTTGTTTGAGTGATCGCGCGCGAGCTAAGCTTTTTGTCCGGTGTCCTTTGCATGCGTGTCTCGACCTCCCTCCCTTCCTCGAAAATGTGCTCGGCTTTCTACGCTTCGTGACGCGCCTCAGGTAGCGTCAAGCCTAACGCTCAAGGTGTTAGGTACCGTCAAAAACACACTGCTCGTGGTTTGCGGCATGCTCTTCTTCGGTGAAGTCGTGACGGGGTTACAGGTGAGCTTGTGGCAAGGCTCCGGTACATGCTTAAGAAGTGCAAGGCACAGGGAGCCAGCAACAACACCTGAGGTTCAATGTTGGGCTACTTAGCTGGCGTTAGGCGACCACGCCAATGCTCCTTGATGCGCAACCAGTGTCGCTTCCATCGCCGTGGTGGATGCTGCCGCAAGGCTTTTGGACATGTCCCATGGATGTTGTCGCCGTATGGCCCGGCCCTGCTTGTCTTCGCACCGTAGCTCCCGCTGCTTGCCACGCTTGGTGACCCGGTGCCTGTCGTACCCTTCTTTCGCTGCGCAGGGCGTAGGCTACGCGGTGTCCCTGATGGGCTTCGCGTGGTACAACTGGTTGAAGATCAGACAGCTAGCCGGCGGCACAGCCAGGGAGCCGCATGTAGCGCGTGTGCCGGGTGTAAGAGGCGCCGGGGCAGCATGCAACAGCGGCGTCACGCGGAGCACCATGGTGGCTGGAAGCACGGGTAGCGCTAGCAGCAGCGGCAGCAGCGGGGTTGGGAACATAGCGGAGCTAGATTCGGTTAGCAGCACGCCCACGTATGCATTAGGTGTGGAGCGACGGCTGCATGCGAATCAACGGCAGCATCATCAGGCGTTGCAGGAGGAGAACTGGGGCGGGACGAGCGGCGGGCCAACCGGCACGTTCTCTGAGGCTGGCGTAGTGATTGGAATACGGGCGCCCCTGCGCGGCGGCACGCGACCCTCGCACCTTGCGGAGCCAACCATCATCGTGCAGAAGTAGCGGTCAAGGGGCTGGGCTTTGATTTGGGTAGAGCGAGCATGGGGCTTGCTGAACCCATGTGTGCGTGCGCGGGGAGCGTGCTCGCATTTTGCAGGAGGTGAAGGACTAGTGCGAAGTCGGATTTGTCGAAATAAGGGCGGGTTCTTCATTGCACGTGTGATCGAACAACATGCGACTAGGACTCAATTGGGGTATGTGTCGTATATGGGATGGCAGTGGCATGACAAGATCCCGGGAGGATTCCATTGCTGCATGTAGGAAGGGCATTGCGCCCGTGATGGGAGGAGAGGGCACAGGCCCCTCCTGCCGACATCAATCTCTTAGCATGCACCGGCATGGAAGTGCTTAAGGATGAAATGACAAGGCAACACCATGATCGGCTGTTCTGATGTGGCCTTTGAGACAGCCTAATGATTTCCGTGATACCGGATGCGGTTTTCATGCGCTTAGCTACGGTGTTTATACTTGCGCATGCATGTGGGCTTGGACAGTGTGTGCGGCTAAGTTTTGGCAAGTGAGGTAATGCACCATTTAAGCAAAGTTAGTACGTACTAAATGGACGCGTGGAAATGCCAAGGTGGATGACATGAGTGTTATGTTGTGGCGAAGGACTGCTGCTGAGCTTGCTTACATTTGTACATGACTACAATTGCAATCAGCCTTCTGCGCGATTCGGCGTGCATTGGCAACCAACTTGGCTGGTCTGCACACGGGCATATGCCGTGCGGGGTCATTGCGGTCCTGCTGTGATCAGGGTGTTGCGAGGATTGCTGTGTGCGGGTCCTGAATGTCTGTGAGTGGGCTCGGCCGGCCCAACAACCGCTACCCCGACTGCCTTTTGCTGCTATTTTGTCCAACAATTTGCATGGGTGCGTGGTGTAGAGGCGATGCTATAGCTGGGGCGCCGGCGCCGGATAAGTGCATGCGCATCTAGGTAAACTATTAGTCGAAGCTTCATGGTTAGTTGTAGCCTTGTCATCTTAGCGAATGTGTGTATCTTACTGATGTATGGCATTGGCGGCATGTCAAGTAAGCTGTATGAACGGTTCCCCGGTTCTTCTGTTTCACAGCTCGTGTTTCTGTCGCCTGTTACGCTGGTGCTGAGGTTGGGGGCAAAGCGAGCAACGTAAGCAGCGCGCGTAAAGCCTTGCAAGGGGAGTCAAAAGGACGCGCTAATGGGTCTCTGAGGTGGCACAGGGTCGCGCAGTTTGCATGTTGCCTAGCATCCTTGTGTGCTTTGGATACCACCTACGTATAGCTGTTAGCTACTTTAGTACTCCTTGTAGGTATTAAGTTATAGGAAGGCGCTGCGGCAGACGGCGTTGTATTCGTCTGTCATTTCGATGGCCTGAGTAGCTTGACCCGAGGTATTGGCCATACATTAAGACCTATGTATGTACTGGACCGGTCTTCATGAACCTGTGTCGCATGCGTGGTGTGCCATTGCATGCGTTCGGTTGGGTGTGGACATGCGTGCGAGTTTGCGAAGGGCTTATTCCCTTCTTATTCCACGTACCTAGCCATCGGCCTTGTCGTAGTCGGTAGCTCGTAGTCGGTAGCTGGAAGGAGAAATGGTTGTGGCGGGTTTCGGGGGCTTTCCACACTCTGCACGTCCACGCGGGTAGGTTGCACACCCGCATGGGTAGCAGTTGTGCACGGAGACAACATGCTTTTGCTCTCTTATAGGTTCGTTACAGTACTCTCTTTAGCTCTGCTTGATTCATGTCCCCACTATGCCCTTGCACTACACGCACGTGGACATTGGGTAGGTTACGGTGGGGTCTGGGAGTGAGGGGGCTGCAATGGGTTTTTGCCAGGGCTGCCTAGCACCCGCGCAGGACGGAGGACTGGCTAAGACATTCGTGCGCAATTAGAACCCAATTAGGGGGCCGCCGCTCACTCGATTGGGCCAGACGGACATGCATCCGTGCTGACCCTCGTGTGTGAACCTGTGCGTAATGCGCTTATTACATGTGGATCGGTGTTGATATGTTCAGGGCACACCGTGCCCCTAGGTGCAGACCTTTGCCTTTGATGAGGCCTGTGCAGCGGTGCGCAGACTGGCAAGCAATATCGACTGATAGGTGTGGTAAAATAACTGGCCGCGAGGCGAAACGTACTGTGATTGTGTATGTGTTAAGAAAACTGGCCGCACACTGTGTGTGTGCATTCCAATGTTTCCTCCGTACTACGCCGTGTATCGATCACCTGTGCTGTATACCGGTACATGCGTCTTGTGCCGTACATGCGAAGGTACATGCCAAGGAAAGCCCGTGTGGGTAAAAAATACCGCAGCACTGTAATAAGCGCCGCGGCTGCTTATCTTCGTAGTACCCCACTACATAGTGTTACACATTACACCCTTGGTACGAAGTCCCTCTGTACAAAAAAGGCAGCCGCATGCTTTGCAAGATAGGGTTTGAACGCTGTCCTCCTTGGCTTACAGTTTACAGCTGTTGGTCCAAGTTCAGCCTCCCAAGGAACTTGGCCTAATCCTACATACACAGCCGAGCCAACGTCAACATGAGTTTATCAGCGATTTGAAACAGGCACTAAGGATTAAAATGACCCATGGGTCTTGTACGCTAGGTTCCTTCTGGGACGGAAGCCACGACTGCCTAACAGCTTCGACCCGACAGCCTAGCAAATGTAACAATACACGGTACACTCGATAACGCCTGTCGTAACAACATAGGCATTCTCCCAACTGCAAACGCGACTCAAAGGAAGCCCCCACGGCTGTACAACCACACGTGGCTTCCATTGCCCCGGCCGCACACCACCAGGGGATGTGTTTCTTGTTTCTTACACAGGCTACATGCGCCTGTACCCGCGATTTGGCTTACGCTACAAACCAACTCAACGTGCAAGCCGTCCCGAAAGCTCCTCTCCCCTGCCAAGCAACGTAGGGATGCGCCTCCCTCTTCCAACAACGTTCCCCTTTACCCAGTCCCCTTAACCCATGCCGCCGGCCCCTGTTGCTGCTGCTGCTGCCTCCGCAGGCGCCAAGCCCCTGCGCGGCGCTCCCGTCGCCCTCCCCAGCGACATACCGTAGTTCACCAGCGTCTCACAGCCGGAGCTCGTGTGCTTGCGCAGGTCCTGGTCGAATCCGATGGCTCCCCCCACGAACAGCGTTGCCATGATGGAGCCTCCGTACGCGAACACCGCCACCTCCTGCCCCTTGGCCACCGCCTGCCCCTCGGCCACCAGCGGGCGGATGCTGCCCACCTCGCTGGCCCCCACCATCACCTGGGCGGGGGGGAGCGGGGGCGGGGGAGGGGAGGAGGGAGGGGGGAGGGGGTCAGGGCAGCTGGTTTTGGCGGGGAACAGGTTATGCGAGTTACCGCTAATGCGAAGGGGCCAACCTGGACAGATGGGTGAACAACTAGGCATGGATGAGAAGCGTGTGTGAACCATGGGCCAGGTTGCCTACAGCGGTATCGCATGCAGGAGGCGAGGTGGCAGCCCGAAGCCCAGTCGTGGAAACCCCCATGTGCATACCCACCTTGCCACCCAACCCCCATTCCACAGCCCGAAAACCACGGTTTCCCACCAACTGCTCCCTTCCAGGCCATTCCCGCACCTGAACCACGGGTCCAAACTCATCGCTGTCGATGCGCATGACGAGCCGTTCGTTCTCCGTCATTACGTTCATGCTGCTGTGTGTGGCCGCCCACTCCGAGCCCATGAAGCGGCGGCCGTGGGTGCTGAGGGACGTCACACGGCCGCTCACAGAGGCGTGTAGGCGGTGGCAGTCGCAGGGGGAAAGCCTGCAGGAGGGAGGGGAGTACAGGTGCGGCAGCAACGGTTGGCCAGGTCGGCTTAAAGCTCCTTGTAGGGTGGGTTAAGTCGTTACAACCGCATTTTGGCTTGGAGGAACTCCAACACAATTGAAGGCTCCTTCTCCTCGAGGCCAGTAGTCAACTCCCAGACTCCTTGCTCTCCTATATTAAACCCATCCTAGCCCATCAGCGTGGCCCGGACATCGCTCGCCTACCTGTTAATAGCGATCGCGCAGTCGTCCCACTCCGTGTGCTGCCCCTCCCGCAGACCCAGCAGCCGCGGCACGTTGAAGTTGCGGCCCTTGATCCAAAAGCGGTGGCAGCTGTCCACATTGTCGTACACCACACAGCGCGAGTCGGCGGGCATGACGGCAATGGTGTTGTCCCTAGCGGCGGTTACCGTAAAGGGGCGACAAGGGGTTACACGGTTGCGTTGTGATCAATAATGATCTATAATTAGCGCGCATTAAAGCAACGAACGCGTCGTCGACATGACGTGCGGTCATCGCCCTCATCAGTGCCTGAGAAACGAAACCACATCCCATTCACTCTCACTCTGGCGCGGAGATGGGTCGCAGCTCGGACTTGATCTTCCGTGCGAAGAACTCCTGCAGGGTGCCGTACTGCTCCACCGGCTTCTCGGCCGTCTCCGTGTTGATCTTGAAGGACTGTACGGCACAGTAAGACATGAGCAGTTAACCAGTGATTGTGCTGTACAGCATATTTATGCGGTAGCATCTCTCTAATATCTCTCTAATGTATGCGGTAGCTTCTCTCTAATACGACCGCAATGAAGGAATGTACGGCGGCAAGCTGCGTACGACCAACATGCACGTAGTAGTGTACAGTGCAAGCAGGAAAGTGACAAGCTATCCTGCAGAGCTCCGTACGGAGCGTCGGAGGACGTACAAGGTGCAGGAGTGGCACCTTGCGAGTGCATGCATGCGTTCGCTTCTCGTATGTCAATCAAGGCAACTGAGACTTGTATGCAAACATGTGAGGAGCTGTATATGCACCCGTGTAGGGATACACACGTTTAAGGCTGTGTAGGTACGTAGGCGTACATGTGTGCAAATGGCTGTGTGTGTGTACCCGGCACCCGCCTCCCCCACCTTGATCAGCCCCGGGATGGACTTCTTGCTGGCGGGGCTGTTGGCATATGCGGCCAGCCGCCGGTGCTGCCAGCCTATGAACCAGCGCGTGATGGGAATCTGTAGCAGCAGGTGGCCGAGCGGGGTCTGATACACCAGCCACATGCGGAGAGCCTGGTCCAGGGGCATCTGTGGGGTGGTGGGCGGGCGGGTGGGGTTTGCAGTGGGGATTGGATAAACTGAGCCGCATGAAGCAGCGGGGGGGAAGGTGTGTGGTGGAGAGGACTAAGAACCCGATGTGCGCTGCCACGCCGTTGGTGAAAAATGGAGGTGGCGGCGGGACGGAAGAGGATGGGTGCAGGAGGAGTTAACAGCAGTAGGCCAGCAGCAGCCGGAAAGCGGATGGGGAGTGCCGGTAGGGTGCAGCAGCGGCAGCAGCAGCCTACTTGCCCATGTCACCGGTGTGTTACGCATGCTGCTGTCAGTCCCCCATGTAACACCATGTAACACCATGTAACCCCATGTAACCCCATGTAATAACAGCGCAACCAAACCTCACCGGTTCCGTAACCCGCTTGCCGGTGTTGCGGTCCATCAGGCAGTGGGTGGTTTCGTAAGACGAAAAGGTGCTCGCGATGTTACCCATGGCGTCACGAATGGAAGTCGAGACGTCGCGAAGGCTTGACGTTGCCTGTAGGGGACTCAACCGGGCAGCTCTAGCGGCTGCGCGTGCTCTGACCGGTAAGGGTGAGGTGGGAGGTGACAGAGGCGCCGGCCGGGCTGCTGAGGAGGTTGGACCCCGACGGCTTGCGTTAGCCTCACACCCAATCCAAGCGGCGTGCGTAGGGCCGGTGGGAAGCCGGGAAGAAAGGTTCCTCAGGGTGCAGTACGTCTGGGTGGGGGTGCGGAAGCGCTTGGAGGTGGCTTGGGGCGATGATGCTGCAACTGGAGAAGCAGCAGCAGAAGCACAGGCAGACGTGAAGAGGATCCCGGTCATAAGACGAGGTGTGTTGCGTCCGCCAATCGAAGTGATGGAGCCACAGGATAGAGGTAGCTGATCGTCGCTTGCGTAACTAAACAGGTGTAAATATGAGAGCAGGTCTATCAACAGGCTGCAAAGATGGTCTCGAAGGGGGAATTCGGCTGCTTACGAACCTTGCTGGCTGGCTGGGATTATGGTTGACGAACGACCCGTGGGACGTTATCCGGCAGAGGCTATAAAAGGATGCGGAAGCGATAGGAGCAAGACAATGTTATACTATACAAGATAAGTTTACTTGAAATAGCTTGCGTCCCGGGGGCTTTGTGATTGGAAAGGACCAATGTGAACTGACCAGGCAAGTGACGCAATGGTTCGTAGCCAGCCGCATTAGCGTATTTCGTATAGCACAAAGTCATGGCACCCGACATAAGCGGTTACTCTGACAAGTAGCAAGGTTAGAACGTCAGAAGCATGCGTGAAGTGATGCCAAGCAAGGGTGCAACACGACTGTTGTGCCCGCCTAAAACACCAGACTGAAGCAAGTGGAAACCAGGGAAAGGTTTCCCAAACATCAGAAGTCACAACTAGCGTCCCAAACTCAACTTTCAAAGACTTACACAATAAGCATCTTCCGGAGTCGTCCGAAAGCCAATCCACTTTCGGATTGCTCACGGTAATGCCGCAAACACCAGAGAAGAATGGCTTGAAAACGTGCGTCATAATACGCGCCATAGGCTGTATGAGGTTGGTTTTGGAGGAAGCGGTCCAATCCATTATTGGCCTTGCCGGCACTGTAAGTTTACCACTTGATACCTGCCAACGCTGCCGAAACGGTTCACATTGCGGAGCCAAATGCATTGCGCGTCTCCAACAGTTGTAACAAACGCGGGCCATGCATTCAAGGTATTGCAGATGCTCTCGCTTGCGAGGATGGGTGGCAGTTGGGATGGACTTTTTCCTCGTGCGCCAAACTCCTTGGGACTCCATGTAACCCCTCCAATATTGTCATACTACTTTGTTATGCACCAGATTCTCATACCCAACACATATCCGCTTTCAAGACATGCATGGAGTCCGCCGAAAGACTACTATGGACCTAGCAAAGCAAATACTATAGCTAACAATTTATCCAACTAGGTTAGTTGTTGTTTGTTAGGTTCATTTAGCATCTAGCGCACAGAAAAACTTGTGTTGCGTGTGGCTTGGTGTGCTTGCATAATCACAGGGTGGCCATCCCTTAGTGCGGTTAGCGTCGGAACCAGTCCTATTTCTCTTCTATATAAGCCGCTTTACAAGGTCTCCCTTATGGACAGCCTTTGCACCGGATGCGATGCTCGTCCAAAGAGAGATCGCAATATGCATGCAGGCTTTGCGATAGCAGCTTGCACAACGCCCTATTGAGGCTAACTCTTAAATACATTTGAAAGTCCTAACCTACTATGGCGCTCTCGACAAAGCTCCGTGCTCCCCAGACCGCTGGTTCACGGCCCGCACCGTTCACTGCTGCGTCACGCGTTGTCGCAAGGGCAGCAGGTACAACTTGCCAGCCTCAAGTGGAAGATGCTCCGTCTTTGCAGCTTGACAGGCGAACCATGCTGTTGTCCATCGCGGGAATGGGCATGGCAATGTGCTCTGGTGTGTCGCCTGTGAAGGCGGCCGATGGAGGTGCGCTGCATAGGGGGTTGGCAACTCTCCGTCCATGGGGGCGATCCAATCCTATTAGTTCCGACTGGCTATAATTCCTTGTCGTAAGCACCTCCTTTTCTTTTCGCGTCCCAAGAGCTTGGGACACCTATGGGCTACCCCAACCCCTAATACCCTTGCATTCCACAAACCCTCCACCTGTACGATAACCACCACTCAACCCACTCTGCCAGTCCCCCACGCCAGCCAGATCCCTCTCCTTTCATATCTTGCCTCGAAATTTCGCCCTTCAACATTTGACAATCTCCGCCGTCGTCCCTCTCCTCCACCTTCTCCATTTCCTAACCTTCCTTCACCCCGCAAACCCGCTCATCACCGACTCCCGCCCTCCTTCCCAACCCTCCACACCATTTACTCCCCCCCTTCCCTTCCCTTCCCCCCCAATCTTCACCCGCCAGAGTTCTCTACCTTCCTGGGCTACGACCGACCCCCCACCAGCTACGGAGGCTACGGCGGTAACGCCAATGAGACCCCGCGCTACACCTTCGAGTACCCAACAGCATGGAAGCCGGACATGCCAAACAAGGTCGGTATGGACCCATGGGTCGGGAGAAGGGTGAAGGCCCCCAAAAGCTATCGGCCGGGGTCTTACCAGCACGCCCTCTTGTGTAACTCGCTTCTAATGTGGCGGATGGCAAGAGTGTATTGTGCGCTACTATATATGTATGCTGGTTCTTTTTAACCGATCCGTCATACGCCATAGCAGGCAGGGGTGGCGGTTGCAGCGTTGCACCGCCCGTTTACACGCATGACATACGCATAACCCGCCGAGCGCAGCTGCGTGCAACGACCTGGACTGGATCTCACACTATCGGGATGCCGCCTCGCTCTCTGTCTTTCCCAAACATGCATCCAAGAGCCGAAGGTCTTTTAGCCTTCTTGGGGCTTAAAGGATGATTGGGGCATGGCTGATCTAAACCCCGCCATGCTCCATGGCCCGCGGTCCCATTGTTTGCTGACATCAATGCAATGTCATACAATGCATGCGCATAACCTGCACACCCAACCGACCTCCACGCTGCCCGCAGGTGGAGAAGGGCACGCAGGGTATTGATGGGCGCGTGGTGAACCCTCGCAGCAAGGGTGAGTGCCCGTGGGTCGGTGGGTCGGTGTCCCGAACAAGGCTTCACTGCCTTTCTCAGTTTCCTGCTTACTGGCTTGTCCTCCCTCGCTTTCCTTTTTCCCTCATCTCCTAACCTAGCCCTTCCGCACCCACGCTTAGTACCGTAGACTGCCACACCTGCGCGCGTTGTCCTCGCCGCCTTCAGCCCCTGAGCCGAATCCACACCCGCTGGCCATGCCATTCTTAACGCCTCTTCAACCTCCTATCTTCTTTTCCCACTCCCCAACGCCCACCTCCTTTCCACCTTCTTTTAGCCTCTCCTATCCCATTTCACCCCCCTCACGCCCACCTCCTGCCCTCTCAGACCAGCGTGCCTTCGTCATCACTCTGTCCCGCGCGGGCGAGGACAACAAGTCCTTCCGCCTGACTGACCTGGAATCCACCCTCAACAGCTTCGCGGGGGCGGACTACGACCTGCAGGTGGGTGGGGCGCTGGTGGAGGGAGGGAGGGAGGGAGGAGCAGGGAGGGAGCGTTGCGCAGGGAGGGAGATGGGCAGGCGGGGTGAAGAGCAGGAGGGAAAAGAGAAGGGAAGGGAGGGAGCGGCAGTGTGGAGGGCGTTGCGGGCTGCGATGTGAGCGGCGAAGCGGGAAGAGGCGGACGACAACCTGCTTGTGCCGGCAGGAGGGAGGGGAAGGAGGACGTGTGGGAAGCAAGGCGGCATGGGAGGACGTACGATGGGGCGGCGGACCTATGGCTTGGACTGAGCAGTAAGGAAGAGGAGACGGAGACGGAAGGAGGTGGTGCGACGTGCGATGGTCATGGGAGGGAGCTGGATGACCAAATGCCCGGGCTCAGAACTTGACCCATGGGTCACTGTGCCCCCGTGCCACGCCTGTGTGTCCCCTTCGCAGGACGCACTGGCCGGCGCCACCAACCGCTCTACTTCCTCTCGTGAGGTGGACGGCAACCTCTTCTACGACTATGACATTGAGTCGCCGGTGCGTGCGTGCGAGCTATATGGCTTTTGACAGGCTTTTGGCAGACCGTACGTATCAGGACTATGGCTGAGTAGCATTTGCATCAGAAAGTTCTACTGGTTGTTGTTGGCCCTGCTGCTTTTTTGAGCATCCGGTTATGCACAAGTGGGATGTCGTGGCTGAGTGTTGTCGTACATGCACTGCCGTACGGCTCCATGCGCCGCCTACCCCCAGGAGTACCACTACCTCGCCACCATCACCGTGTCCAAGGGCAAGGTGTTTGCGGTCTTCGTGCGCTCACCCACCAAGGCAAGTTAGCACACGAATGAACGAATGAATGAATGAATGGAAGACGATGTGGGAGTCATTGCATTCCACTCCTCCACCATGCTCCCTGTTGTGCTCAACGTACACCGCTTACACACATGTCCTGCGGGACATACACACCTAGGCTGCCTTGATTGAGCCTGCCAATGCAGCAAGGAGGCAGTAGCTTACTTCCATTTAAGGACCAGCAGGTGCATCATATTGTGACGCTGTTACTTCCACCCCTGGCTCCCTCTCTTTCCACCTGATTTGCGCAATCCGTATCTAATGCAGAGCTTTGCCGCCAACGAGTCGAAGCTTCGTCAGATCATCAGCTCCTTCAGGCTCCTCTGATAGCTAGGATGCGAAGGTTACAAGAGGGACCGGAGCTCCCGTAAGCCAGGAGCCGTACAAGAGCTAGGCGGCCCTCCGCATGTACGGCATGCTTGCATGTCTGCCTGGATGTCTGATGGGACTATTGGGGGCGAGGAGATCCGCTGTGTGGCGCAGTTGGTTATAATCCGGTTGCTGTGGAGCAGTTGGTTCTATAGGAATTGTGACCGTTATCACTCTACTCGGTGCCTTGCCGACTACCATGAATGTTTAAATGTATGTTATATGGTTGGCATGATGGATGGTTGGCATGGTGGATGGTTGGGTCACCCTGTGTTGACACATAATATCTCCGGGAAAGGTACGACATGATATGTACGTACTCCCCAGTATGGCCAAGACTGTGCTGTCCAAAGGGCAGTCAGGGGTTGAGGAGGATACGGTAGGTGGTCCGGAAACGACAAGAGGTAGCGGTAGTTGAATGGTATTCTGCCGCTGGGGGAGAAGCAGTCATGGGGCTTGAGGAGCAAATGATGTGCTTGAGCTGAAGTGGGGGTTGTGGCACTCTGGTGGTTGTGATGGTTGCACACTCGTACCACCACCACCTGGACGGAAGACTGCCGGATCCGCTGGAAGGACAACGTGTCGTAATCAGGGTTTGCTGCTGCGGTTACAGTTTCCTGGAGTCTAAGGACAGAACCCTCGCAGCAGCCAGCAGCAGCAGGGTACAACCCAGTACAGCCGCCAGTGAGTCGCCCAGACGCTGAACCAGTCGGCTGCTATGAGGTTACGGTATTAGCAGCCAGCTAAGTCGGGAGGAAGTTGTCCCCACACGAACCTAGGGGACACAGCGCTTTGCCTGCCACGATTCCTCCTGGAACCCCAACTTGCTTGTCAGCACGAATCAACTCGAGTCCTTTTCGCTGCATTAAGGCCCACCGGTAACATCATATAACAGTCCTCCTCAGCTCTATAGGCACCCACACGATACCTCACATGCATGTGCAGCTGGGAGCAGTACGACAGCACAGGTGCACCGGACCTCGTTGCTGATTTGTTGTCTTCCCGTCCTAGTCCTTTGTCGCATTGTCCTATGTCCCATGCCCTATTCGACATCGGAATCAAGCTGCCACCCCTTGCCTCTGGGGCCCTGCTGGGGCGGCTGCAGGCCCATGTTCTCCTGTAGCCACCCCCACAGCCGCCTCCTACGTGGGTCATTCGCATCCTGCCACTCATATGCACACTGCATGCCCTGCTGCGCCGCCTCCTCCGTCATTGGACACCCCTCCGCCAGCAGCCAGCTCAGCACGGCGCAACTGCACACCGTTTGGAGGCATTGCCTAAGCAGGCGCCCAGGCGGGCCCCAGGGGCAGCCCAGCCGCTTCAAGCAGGCCAAGGTGGCCAGGTCGCTCTTGCGTGCAGCTTCCAGGTATGGACGGCCGTCGTCCTGGGGAGTGGGTTATGAGCATTTCATGGGGCGGCGCATCACAGTTGTCCCCAGGAATCAAGGCGCTGCTTTTTTGCATGAATAGAGTTGGCATGGAGTGCGGCAAACGATCGACGTTCAGCGGTCAGCGACAGCGGAACAGCATGCGGTCAACTCAAGCGTTGAGGATCATGTATGGTTTGCAAGCATGCCGTTACACCACATTGCATGCTTAGTTGACTTTTCAAGACCCCCGGTTTTGGAAGGCTTGTCCCACAACCCTGTCAAGTCCCTACTTCGACGGCTGCCCAGTACAAACTCACCGGCATGGGGCAGCCTTGCTCCACTAGCCACTCCAGTACCTCGCCACACCCTGACCCCGCAGCCCGTGTGATAGCCCCGGCATCCCTCCAGGCGAAGCCCCTCTCACGCAGCCACCTCAGCAGCTCCAGGTTGCCTGAACAGGCAGCACTGCTGAACTCCTCTGCACCCAGCTGCACCCCTGCTGGCCCCAACACCTCCTCCACCAGCCAGACCACCACTTGCAGCTGCCCTCTCCGGGCTGCAACCTCGACCGTCTCCTCGTCCATCGGGCAGCCGTGGGCATGCAGCAAGGTTAGTGCTCCCAGGTTGCCAGACTCTGCGGCCCTTTCACCGCAATCTGAATTCGGCTGCACACCCTCTGACAGCAGCAGGTAGTGCAGCGCCTCCATGTTCCCGAATTCGACAGCCTCCTCAGCCACGCGATCGCTCAGCGGGTAGCCCCGCCCTCGCAGCCACCTCAATCGGTCCAGAGCGTCAGGGCAGGAGGCGGCGCCCAAGCAAGCCTCCGAGCCAGGAAAGCCCCGCGCCTCCAGCCACACCAGCTTGGCCTGCCAGTCAGGTGTGGGGCCGCGGGCCGCAGCAGTCACGACATTTCTCTTTGCGTAGTCGTCCAGCTGTTGCTCGCCCGCCCAGTCATGGTACAGGCGCTGCAGGGTGTGCAGCTCGCAGCCGCCAGCTGCAGCTTTAAGCAGCTCAGCGGCCCGAACATCTTCACCTTCTGCCTGGTGCAGCTGCAGCAGCCAATCCATCAGGCCCACATGGCCCCCTCGAGCCGCAGCGTACGCAAGGCATGGACTCCAGGAGCAGCCGCTAGCCAGGCCCCACTCGCATATGCCTCGCTGCCCGGCACGCGCTGCAGCCTCAACAATCAACTCCAAGGAGTGGCCCTGCTCCATCAGCCACTCGCACATCTCCAGCCGGCCTGTCTCGACCGCAGCCTGGACGAGGGAGGTTGGGCGCAGGAAGCGGAGGAACTTGTGCACATAAGGAATCCCTGTGGCAGCAACTGCCACCTTGAGGTTTGGCAGGCTGCCGCTGCGGGCCGTTAGCCACTGTAGCTCCTGCCGCCGCTGTACGGTGAGCCCACGCATGACGCCGGGCCGCTCCCATTGCTCCTTGAATGCGTGGGGCGGCACGGGAGAAGAAAGCTGCACGGTGGTATAGCGAGGCCCGCGGAACTGCGCGGCTGCGGCCTTGTTGATCAGTCGCACGGTGCAGGCGACCTCGTTGGGCGGCAGGAAGCTAACGATGCTCTCCGTAAGCTCTGGTAGCAGCTGCGGCCAGATCCGTGACGTATCTGGCTGCTGTGGGGAAGCATTTGAGGGCCGCTCCGAATCAGCGGGCTGCTGTTGCAGTTGTCCGGGCATTTCTGAAAGAGGCTATGATGAAGATGAGGAAGAGATTAGCCGCAAAACTAGCGGACAACCTTGCAAACTCTTGTCTGGTGAATTGTTCGCCGCTTATGCTCGCACTAAAATCCACAAATTTAGACTTGACAGGAAGGTTTACCGTTTATAAGATAATGGATAACGCGCAGCAGGTCTACCGGAAGACCCGCCCTCACGAGCATGGCTGTTGCTCGTCCATGTTTGGACCTTGTCATTACTGATGGTGAGGACATCCCGGCATGTTTGTCGCCTCTCCCAACAATTACCTTGCCGTCATAATAGTGCTAAAACTGGTAAAAGGCGGGATGGCGCCAAGGGCATGGCACGTTGCAAGTTGCCGCATGCGCTTGGAACCTCTGGAAATACTAGTATACGCCCTGCATGTGTCTGTGTAGAGAGACGTTTTATGTAGAGATTTCTCGTCGACCACTTGCTCGGGCACACTTGATTGGTAATGTAGTCGCGGGAGAGCGCTCTAGCTGCTACTCCAGCAGAGTCTACCGCTTCGCTATCTTTTATTAGGGGTATCATAGTCATGGATAGAAACACTTACGACGGAATCCATGGCGCTAACGCCATACCGCCAACCGCAGCACCAGCGGCAGTTGCAGGCCGGGGCAAAAATGTTCGGCTTCGGCCATCCCCTACGCCACCCAATGCTAGCAGCAGCGGCAGGGGCAAGGGAGCTGCCAGTGCTGCTGCTGCCCTTGCTGCCGCGGAAACTGGCACTGCAGGCGGCTCTGCGACACGCCCTGAGGTGGGTTCGTGAGGGGGGTCCGAGCCCATCATTCCGACCCAGCGCTCCTCCCTTCCCCCACTCCCTTCCCGCCCTTCCGCTCCCTCCCGGCGCAGCACTCGGGCGGGACTTCTGCCCTCCCTCGTCAACAGCAGGGTCGCCCATCCCGGCAACCGCAACCGCAACCGCAGTCCTCCTTGCAACCCCACCCCCAGCAACAACAGCTATTGTACCAGCAACAGCAGCACCATGCCCCAGCTCCTGCAGCAGCCGCAACAGCAGCAGCCGCAGCAGCCGCACCGGCCCCCCGGCTGGCTGCTGCTGCAGAGGCCCTGCAGCTGCTGGACAGCAGGTGGGGCTTCAACGCGGCGGGCGCAAGCAAGGTGAGCGGGCGGCTCGGGGTTGTGTGGTGATCTGATGTGAAGATCTGATGGGTGCCGTCCTTGCTGGTTGCTGACATGGAAACTTCTCGGCCTCTCAACACCCTTCTATCCCGCCCCCCCTGTTCCCCCAGTGCGGCGAATGCCGTATGCAACACCTCTAATCCCCCGCCCACCCCGCATCCCACCTCCCACCAGCTGCTGTCCGACTCCGCCTCAGCCGCCAGCGACTTCCGAGTTATAGGCGTGCTGGGAGGCCAGGGCTCCGGCAAGTCCTCACTCCTCAACACGCTGCTGTACGACAGCCCGGCAGCGGAGAGGCTGGCCGCCGCCGCCGCAGCAGCAGCAGCTGGCGGCGCTGGCACCAGCGGTGGTAGCAGCGGTGAAGGGCAGCAGGGATTTGGCGCCGTGGGTGGCATCATGCCGCCGTTCGCAGTGGCAGCGGCGAGCAGGCACGGAGGCACGGCAGCAGCAGCGGCAGCGGCAGCACCGCCGCTGGGGGCACAGGGAGGGACAGCCGCAGCAGCGGCCGCAGCGGCAGCGGCTGCGGCTCTAGGAGTGGGCAGTTCGCAGCAGCGTCAAGCAGCGGCAGCGGCAGCGCAGATGCAACAGCAGCAGCAGCAGCAACAGTCCTGTTGCGCTCACACGACCTCGAGGCTGGAGCTGAGGGTGCGTGGGTGGATGGGCGGGTGGGTGGGTGTTGGGCGGTCATTCAACCCGGCGGCAACTCCTGAGCGGGCAGCAACCAAAGCCACCCACCCATCCTATCTTCCGGCCCATGGTCCTCCTCTGCAGCTGCCTAACCCTCTTGTCACCCGCCATACCCGCCACACCGCATCCCCCTCGCACCCCACCCCCCCTCTCCAACCCCTTCTCTGGCCCCGCCCCCCCTCTCACCCCTCTCTCCCCCGCCCCCCCAGCTGCACCCCGGCGACCGCACGCTGCTGCTGGACTGCCCTCCGCTGTGGAGCGCAGCATGGCTGGAGCAGCTGGCGGTGGGGGGAAGGGGGGAGGGAGGGGGAGGGGCTTTGACTAGGAAGTGAAGAGCACTGGAGAGAAGGGCAGCGGGGGGTTAGTGGGGTTACGGTACCGATAGTTGAAGACCATGAAGGATTGGTCTAACATGCATTACCAGCTGTCCTAAACGCCTTCAAGAGCAACCAGCCATGTAGGGAGCAGAAGCAGCAGCTCGTTATCTCTTCCCCCCTCCCTCTTTTCCCCTCTCTCTGTCAGTTTCCTCTCCACCCCATTGGGTATTCTGTTTTTCCCCTCTCTGACCCCCACCGTCAAATTATAGCACCATTCAACCGGCCGCACCTTTCCTCTGCCCTCCCTACCCGCCCCGCCCTCCTGCCAGGCCAGTCCGGAACCTCCCTGCCCGCACGCGGCTGCCTCTGCCGCCGGCAGTGGCGGGGGCGGCGGCGCAGGAAGGGCCACTATCATGTCCCGGATCATCGGTAGGGTGGTGGCGTGCTGCGCGGGAGGGAACTATTCCACTTCTTGGGCTTAGGGCTTTGGTGTGGAGCTCAAGATGGGGGCATGGCTCCCTGTCGCACGCATGGTCAGGTGCACTACACACCATGGCTTGCTGCTGCTGCGTTCTGCCGTACTAACTGCCAGCGCTGCCCGGTCGTGCGAACAACAACACATCCAGCGCTTGGCGCAGAGCTCGGCATGCTCTTACCGCCGGCCTGAGCGCTTCAAATAAGGCCTCCCGGTAATCAGTATTCAGTATCAGTAATCAGCCTGTCCCGTCAGAAACCCCCCTGTACCGGTTCGCCACTCTGCCTTCTTGCGAGCACATTGTCACATGGTTTGCGAGGAAAGACGTACCACGAGTAACTCCCCCGACAGTCCTTACGATGGCGAACTCGCACTGTTCCGCTCCTTGCTTGCAGCTGACGCTCGGTCCCGCGGCGAGTCCTTCCTGTCGGCGGAGGCGGTGGGGGAGCTGCTGGGTCTGCAGCTGGGGGCGCTGATGATGGCGGCGTGCCACGTGGTGGGTAGGGCCCGCAGGGACTGACCCGTGGGTCATGCAACCGAACGTGCATTGGGCCGCAATGGGTTACATGCAATGCCAAGATGTGGCTTACCACATGCATGACATTGATGGGGCTGTTGTGCAAGAGGAAAGAGTGCATTTTAGATTCTAGTCATCCTTTGCATGCTGTCAGCACCTCGCACTCTTTCTCTTTAACTCCCTCGGTCTGTCCCGTCCCCCTCCCACCTGTCAACAAGTCCGTTTCCCTTCACTCCGACTTCATCACCCCCGCCCCTGCCCCAGGTGGTTGTGATGGTGGATGCGGTGGACGAGCCGCGGCTGTGGGAATACCTGCAGGTGGGGGCGGCTGGTGGGGGCGGTAGGTGGGGGGGCGGAGTAGCGGGGGCTGGCAGGAATCTGAAGCACCGTCATGTTTTGCGCTGCAGATCAGGGGCCGATCGAGCTGCCGTGACGTCTTCTGGCCTGCTGTGAACCTAGCTACCCGGCCCAACTGTCAGCCATGACTCTGCCACTCTTTCCACCCCTCCCACCCAGGTAGTGGACATGATTGCGCACTGCCTGCCCGACGTGGCAACTGCAGCAGCAGCAGGGGCAGCGCTTTCGGGGCCTTCGGGACCTGCGGGCAGCAGCAGCGGTGGCGGTGGCGGCCCCATGGTAGGCTGCGATGCAGGGGCGCGGCTACTGTGGGTACGGCGCATGCATGAAGGCTTGCCGTACTGGCCTAGGAGGGATACTTTGGTTGTGCTATCCGTCTTGGGGCTGTGTGCATCAGCCGCCTCCTGAGGGTGCCCCCCCCTGCCCTTCCCTCCCTACCCTGACCCCCTCCTGCCCTGCCCCACTCTTCTCTTTTCCCTGGCGCTTGCCGGAGCGCTCCAAATGATGAGTCAGGCTGCTGCAGCAGCAAGGCGAGTAGCGGAGGTGGTTGTCGTACTTTGCGGTGTTGATGATGATGACTTCACCGTGCGGCACCTGCGGCCCCAATACGAGCTGCTCCGGCTGGCCCTCGCGTCCTCCCGCTTGCTGTACACCGGACCGGAAGGTGATGGCTGATGGGGTTGTCAAGGTTGGGGTGTGAGAGCTTCACGGCGTTGACCCGTTGCCGCATTTCGCTCATCTCATTCGTCTTGAGTCGTATTGCCCACACACACACACCAGACACGTAACAACGCCAAACACAAGAAAGCACATTGATGTGCACTGTGGTCTTCCCTTCGCAGGTCATGCCATCAGCATTATACGGCACCTGGAGTACTGCAGAGGCGGCGGTGGCGGAGTCGGAGGTGGTACGGGAGCAGCGGAGGCGGCCACCAGTTGCACGTCTGGTGGCGACGACCGACCTACCAACGGCAGCAACGGCTATGGCAGCAGCGGCAGCGCTGATAGGGGCGGCGCTGACAGCCTCCACTTCTGGGCCCTGCCTCGTTGCCTTCACCGCTACCACCAGCACCAGCACCAGCACTATGAGGACCAAGACGCTACCGGCGTCAGCAGCAGCCCCTCTTACCTTCCTCTACCACCACCGTCATCGTCATCAGTGTCATGTTCCCCATTGCATCACCTGCTTCAACCGCTGAGGTCAGCGCTGCTGTCACTGCCCAAACGCCCCCTAGGGGTGGCCCCAGCACCGCCGCAGCACCCCCACCCGCAACAGCAACAGCACCCGCATCCCTCCACGACAATGACGGCCATGCCACGGGTGTTGAGTGAGCGGGATTGGTTGCGGGGGTTGGAGCGGTTGTGGAGCCGCGAGCTGCAGCAGGCATGTCCGCCCCTGGAGCGGTACATGCTGGCCCGCATGCAGGGGGTGTACGCGGGTGGGGGCGGCTGGCCGCTGGCGGCGGCTGGGGGGAGGTAGCGGGAGGGAACAGGGAAGGCTAGGAAGGGGGACGAGAAGGGCTGGGCGGGGGATTATGTGAACCCTGAGCCGCGTGGAAACACTGTTACCGTGATCACATAGGAAGCCCCGTTGATGATGGCGTCCAGCAGAAGGTATCGATGTGGCGTTGATGTTGAGATGAGGCGAGAGGAGGCGGTGCAGGGGAGGAAAGGAAATGTGCGGTGCTTCGTAGGGAAGGAGAGACGTGATGGAGGGAGGAGAAGGAGGGACGGGCAGAGGCGTGACTGCCTGTGTGTAAGGAGGAGGAGCGGATGGAGGTTGAGGTGGTGGAGTTGGGAAGGAGAGGAGGGGAAAGGCCTATGGAGGGTTGCCTAGGGGTACGGTAGCATTGTAGGGTACTAGGGAGGAGGTGTGAATCCGCTAGCTGAGAGGCGGGGACGGTGGCTGTTGTGGGGTGTGGGGCGTGCGGGCTGTCATTGGCAAGGCTGGAAATGGCTTGTGCAGGTGCCGTTGGTGGGCTGGGTGGTTTGCTTCAGCGTTTGCCGCAGCTCAGAAGGGTTACGAGTAGTTCCTTTGCAAGCAAACAGCGAGGAGGAGGGGGAGGAGGAGAGCGAGGAAGATGGAAGCGGGCCGGGGATGAGTGAGGACGAGGAGGAGGAGGAGGGTGGCGAGGCGGCGGCCCTGGAGGCAGGGGGCGGGGTGGGCGAGGTGGGGCCGGTAGGGGGGGTCGACCAATGTCAACGCGATAATGACTACTACGATGGTCCCTTACAAGGGAACACGGGTGATGACCCCAACCCTGCAACTGCCCACATCTTGGAATGCACTATCGTTGGGTTTGGGAACGCGATTACAAAATGCCGTCAGGGTAAGGACAGGGGCAGGGTTTTATCACATAGCATAATCAACCCGTCGCCAGGACGCGCACACATATACACACACGCACTTGTCTTCAGGACCCATACATTGGGTTAAACAGTAACCACTAGGAACGTGCTCCCCAGTTGATTGCTTGTGCCCACACGCGCCCCCAAACCTTCAAAACGCGGGAAACCCTGTCAATCAATGGGCCATAACGATACGACGTTGTCGTACAGTGTCAGCACCTACAACGGTTGCGCCGCACCAAATAGACACCCTTGGGTGTTTTTAAACATTTTCCGCTAACCAATAGTCACACCCCATCCTGGAGCGAACAGAAGAGCCCACAGACAAAGGCCCCAATCAGCCGCCGTGCGGAGCAGTCACGTAAGCGGACGCCTAGACATTGCGTCGTGCAACCCCCAACAAGCCGCCACAACTCAGCTAACCAGCACGGGGGGGTGTAACGGGGTGATTGTTTGTGGTCATCCGTAAACTATACACGCATGCAGCCCAGCAGCTAGGCGTTCACCCCCACTCGCATCAAAGGGCAACATACTGGTCAAGGCTAGGTGAGACAACGAAGGAAACCCAATTCACATCTACGCGTGAATAAATATAGAAGTAAAGCTGGCTCAGGTGAGCAAACCAGATTGGCGCAGACAGAGGCTGATGCGCATTGTTGTCCCTCCTGCATAAGCGTGCGGTTAGCTTACTATAGGAATTCGTACAATAGCCGTCCATGAATGACTTTCGACGAACCGCTCCGTACGGTCCCCGCTCACAACCAACTAACAAAACAACCGTTTATAGGGCTGGAGGTCACTGATGAATGCTGCTCAACCCATAAACGCACAAGGCAAGCAAGATCCTTCACGTGCATGTACACATGTCCATACGTACCCATGCATGTCTGGGTGCCCCAAACACCCACACACGGGGCTAGGGCCAACGCATGTAGCGAGGAGAGGCTAATCCTAGGTGCCATCGGCATACGCATGGGGGGCAGGCCCATGGGGGGCACGCAAGCAAACTATGTTGTGTCCCCCAACCGACACGGAACAAAGCCAAGAGGGAGGTTAACCAATGCCCCCTGCCGCACATCATTGGCCCGAACCACAGCAGGAAGTCCATGCAAGCACGGCTAGCAAACCCCATGCAAGCACAGCACACAAACCTTTCCGTACTCCCAGACAGCCAAGCAAAAAGCACGATAGCCACGCACATAGTGCTTATCAGTACCAAGCCAGTGCGACAAAATCCGGTGAGAACCGGTAACAAAGAAGCACCCCAACCAGATCGGAATGCAAGCACACTCAACAGGTGAAGGTCGTCTTGAATGTCCCGTGTTATGTACATAAGAAGCAAGGCACTGTCAAGCGTTTACTAGTGACCACGCAACACCTCCCAACCCGACAGTACTAACCCTTGCCAGCCCCGTAACAGAAGCAGGTGTGAAAGTGCGTGCCCACAACGCGTCGCACCTCCGAAGTACCAGTCCGTGCTTCAACGGAATGCCCTTCCGACTCAACACTGAATCCAAAGCCCCATGCCCAAAAACTCTTCAATGGACCCGTGGGCCACAAACAGGGACAGACAAACGCCCACACTCCCAACGCGCTAGAGGTACCGGTAACCTCCGTGCTATGTATGCAATACGGCTCTCATGCCGCTGGGTTCAAGGCGACGAAAAAGCTGACGTACGGCATGTTATGTCCAGACCTTTCGGCAAGGTCAAGTCCTTGTGTACAACATGCAAAATGCGGGCAGTCAAAGAAGTGCCGAACGTACACTTTAAACCTCCGTTTTGACCTCCATTCCCTCCCTCCCCTGCTGCTCCTTAGAAGTCCCGGAACGTGCCCTTGCTCTTGTAGTTCTTGTTCCTGAACTGCCTTGTATCCACTTGCATGGGTGCGAAGTTGCAGGTGTCACCTCCATGCTGCGGCTGCTTGGGCGTGTACGGCGCGGGGAGCTGCTTGGCTTCGAACTTGTCCCAATCGAAGCCCGCGAACCAGGGGTGGTTCTTGATCTCCGCGGCGCCCTCGCGGCCTGCGCCCGCTCGGAAGAGCGGGTTAGGGTCCAGCAGCCGCTCCACCAGGTGCCGCATGTCCTTGGAAAAGTGCTTGGGGAAACTCAGCTCGCTGGACGTGAAGGGTGGGGGGAAGGCAGGGGAGGCGAGGGGGGCAGGGGCAACAGGGAGGGCGTGAGAGGAAGGGTGGCGTGGGGGTGCATGTAAGACCCTTGCTAGGTGTGTGCTGTAGTAATAAGGCAGAGGGCACCCGTGCATCTACATGACAACATGTAGTAACGGGATTGCGGAGCGGTTTGTAGCGCGGGACTGCGCTACTGCTGCCATACCGTGCGCAGATCTTGCGGAACATGGCCAGCCTATCTTCGTCCATGAACGGCGGCAGGCCGTTGCACAGCTCGAAGATGAGCACCCCCAGCGCCCACCAGTCAGCTGCCGCGTTGTGCCCCTTGTTCATAATGATCTAATGGGCGCGGGGGGGGAAGGGGGGAACAGGTTGAAGGGGAGGAGTGCGGTCGGTGGTGATGGGGAGACGGGTTGAGGAGGTGAGGGGCAGGGAATGCTACAGGCATGAGACGTATGCGAACGTTGCTGTGAAGCATGCAGTAGGCAGCCAGTACGGCAAGCATGCAGTTCAGCAAGGGATCCCTTGCTCCGTACATACCTCGGGGGCCAGGTACTCGGGAGTACCGCACAGCGTGTAGGTCTTGGTGCCCTTCTTTAGCCGCTTCACGAAGCCGAAATCCGTTACCTTGACGTAGCCCTGATGGGTGGGAGGCGCCATTCGAGCAGCAATGCGGACACAGGCGGAACGTTAGGTTGCGCAGCGCATATAAAGGACTGAGAAAGCCCATCTGCCTATCCCCGAGGCTGTTACTTTTGCCAGGCATGTGCTGTGCATTATATAGTCAAACACGTAGGGCGCAATGTGTGCAATACGGACACCCCGCATGCGTTCAGGCCCCTGCCTCTGCTGCCCTCATGTGCACCTAGCCACCCACCTGCAGGTCGATGAGCAGGTTCTCGGGCTTGAGGTCGCGATACACCATGTCGCGGTCGTGAAGATACTCGAGTGCGAGAATGACGCTGGCGGCATAGAAGCGAGCGTGGGCCTCGTCGAGCGGCCGAGTGCGGGTCTGCAGATTGGGTGTTGCAAGTACGGCAAACGTACGGCAGCGTTAGTTGCGTAGTAAGAGCGGTGTCACAAGTCGGAGGACATGGGCTGGTTCAAAGCTCCATATCACCAGCCGCATAATTGGCATAGACAATGCCTAATTGGTTAATTGGTTAAATGGAGGTTACACTTCCAACCAAGCAGAATGCCACCTCCACGCCACACATGTAGCATTCGTACGGCACCACGTCTGTACCGTACTACTGCGCTGTACAACAGTGTACGGTAGATCCCCACCTGCAGGTAAGAAAAGAGCTCTCCGCCCATGACTGCCTCCATCATCATGTAGAGGGTGGTGTCGTCCGTGGCAGTGCCCTCCAGCCGCACCAGGAAGGGCGAGTTGCACTCGGCCATCAGCTCCTGTGGGGAGGGAGCAACAGGTGGGATGAAGGTACGACCCATATTAGGTTGTGAGCTTGGCAGCTGGCAGCCGTACATGCGCAGAACACCGCCAGCGACCCATGGGTCATCATCCCATACTTATCGACAGCTATCACCTTATACTTTTGCTCTTCGTACCTTTTCCCGCTTCACGTGCTCCACCAGTCCCTGCTCCTTCACGAAGCCCTTGCTGATGGCCTTGAGCGCGTGGTAGCCGCCCCTGTACTGCACCAGCAGCACCTGGCCGAAGCCGCCCGCACCCAGCACTGCAATTGCCTGGGCCTCGAGTACGTTGATAGCCTGCGTGGGGGCGGAGGGGGGATGAAACGGATGATGTGGTGATATACCGGTAGGTGGTGAATGGTGTGAGAAACATGCAGCAGAGGATATGATGGTGGTGGTGGTGCGTACAACCCATGCAGGACGAGACGGTTAGCCTAGCTCACAAGCCTTCACACCACGTTTCAGCACCCCACCCCTGCCCCACCTTGCTCTGCGGCTTCCAGTGGCTGCCCTGCCTCAGG